ATGATAATAAGCACCCTTGTCTGACTCTTGTGTTTACTCCAAACGCCTCACTGAGTTTTCCGTTGTGGATCACTTGACATGCGCCGTTGTCGTATAGCTGTTGAATAAGGCTGATGAATATTTCGGGTACGCCATAAGACTCGAGTAATTTCCAAATTACTTCACGATCAAGGCTGTCAAAGGCCTTCTCAAAGTCTATAAAGTTGAGGTAGAGGTTTGACTACCATTCCATGCTTTGTTCTGTGATGATGATGCGTAGAGTTGCCATTTGGTCCGAACATGATTTGCCTTTCCTGAATCCAGCTTGTTCTGGTAGGTAGGAGTTCTGTCTCCAGTGCGTCCTTTAATCTGCCCAGGATGATGCGACTCAGGATTTTACTTGGCGTCGACAGGAGCATGATTCCTCACTGAGGATTGTTTAAATGCCTTGAAAGTGGCTGTTGTTCAAAGGAATTAGAAGTTATATGAAGTGAAGTTTTGCAGACATTCTGAGGCCAATTCATCTCTGTTTCATCAGCATATGGCTGAAACTTACCTGTAATAAAAGACTATAAGGGATGTAACACTTCAAAACTATAATTTCGAAAAGATCCAATGCACTTCAAACTTGGAGGGTTTTTATTCACCAAAAATGATTAAACAGTTTTACATCGTACCCGGAAGTTTTATTCGATAGCAGTTTTTTATATTTTCATTCACTTAATTTAACTACTTATATCTAGTAAGTAGATAAAGCCGAAAAAGACATTTTTACCAATCAGTCGTAGGTCATCAACAATCTAATTTTTCCACATAGAACTGCAACAAAGTGTATAGCTTTAACAGAGTATTTATGTGGGAATAATGAAACTATGAATCTGTATGATTACTGACCAAATTGAGCATAAAAAAATAGTTATATCAAACAAATAAAGGATATTTTTTTAAGTATTGGTTTTGTATGGATTTTGTTTGACTGAATGGAGGATTTCATCATGAGCTGACATCACTTACAGAACAACTGTAAAGCCATCAGGAAATACTGGACACCTATTCCGCCCTAGTTTAGGAGTGTTTCGTAGTACGCACCCACTGGGGTTCGGACCCAGGACTTTCATGGGCCATGGAATTGGGTTCCAGTGGCTCAATGGTCTACGAGCTCGCCTTGTAACCTCAAGTTCCTGGGTTCGAACACTATTGATTGGTGCACACGGTGAAGAGTTCCAAGCTAGAACAGAACAGCTGGCTAGTACCCTCAGGTTTTCCAGTGGTTCTCTAAATGATTTCAGCTCATGATGAAATCCTCCATTCAATCAAATAGAGGATATATTACTAGTTAATAACACACTATTCACCACAATTTATTCAGAAATACACGAAGAAGAATTAAAAAAAAGGATTGGGGATAAAAATGAGGAAAACAACTCAGACTTCAAAGCCTTTGTAGTACTGCTGTATAAAGAAGGAACGTCATACCCTTTACGTAAGATTCTCACTGAGGCTATAGTTATTCGGGGCATCATTTAAGCTAACCAACCAACTCATCTTGAGATAATATTTGAACTTAGGTACCAAACAGGTCCAATTAAGAAACACGATATAATTTACCAAATACCGTGCTGTAATGACTGTGGTTCCGATGGCATAGGTCATTCAAACTAGTAAATTTGGGTCAAATAATTAGATTATTGGAACATAAACACTCAGCTAGACCTATAATGATACATCCTGCTAAGTCAAATAACCTAGAAAAAAAGGGCTCAGCCATTGCATTGCATTGATTTGCCTTTCCTGAATCCAGCTTGTTCTCGTCGGAGTTCTGTCTCCAGTGCGTCCTTTAATCTCTCCAGGATGATGCGACTCAGGATTTTACTTGGCGTCGACAGGAGCATGATTCCTCGCCAGTTCTTGCAGAGTGGGCGTAAGTCGCCCTTCTTTGGTAGTTTCACGAGGTAACCTTTCCTCCAGTCAGTAGGCACCTTTCCCTCCTTCCAGACCTTTTGCAATAATGGAGTCAGCATGTCTGCTGTAGTCTCTGGGTCCGCTTTCAGTGCTTCAGGGGGTATTCCATCTGGTCCAGCTGTTTTTCCAGCTTTCAGAAGCTTGATTGCATTCAAGACTTCAGCTCTCGTTGGAGGATTGGTGTCAACTTGCAGTTGTGTGCGCGCTGTTGTTGGGTCGCAGGTGATGGTCGGTTCAAGAGTCCTTTGAAGTGATCCGCCCATTGTTTAATCTGTTTTTCTTCCTTGGTAATTGGGTTCCCTTGGCTGTCTTTTATAGGTTTCGCTTGTGTTGATCTCTTCCCGGATAGAGATTTGGTTATCTGATATAGTGTCCTCAGGTCCCTTTTGCCTGCTGCCTTCTCAGCTTCAGTGGCGAGGTTGTCGTAGAATCGTCTTTTGTCCTTCCTAGCACTCTTCTTCACTTCTTTGTCCAGTGCTTTGTAAGTTGAGCTCAGCGTCTCCTTCTCCTGTCCGTCCTTGCATTGAATCATTTTCTCTTTCACCATTCTCCTCTCTTCTATTAATTTCCAAGTGTCCGTTGAGAGCCATTCCTTGTCTTGTCTCTTCTTTCTTCCTAGAACCGTTGAACACGTTTCGTTGAGAATCGCCTTCAGAGACTTCCAATGTTCTTCCACGCATGATTCTTCAGTGATGTCGCGTAGTGTTTCCTGCTTTGCTCTGACAGTTGCAGTGAAAGTGTCTTTTGTGGTTGTGTCCTTCAGTTTGAGTGTTGAACTTGCATTGTGGCCTATCCCCAGCTATCCTCGAGGCTTTTAGTTTCACCTTGAAAGTCCCTTCTACTAGATAGTGGTCTGAACCCACATCTGCTCCTCTCCTTGACCTTGTGTCCAGTAGGCTCCGTCTCCACTTTCTTGAAATTGAGATGAAGTCTATTTGGTTTTTGGTGTTTCCATCTGGTGAAATCCATGTCGTCTTGTGTATATCCTTGTGTTTGAACACACTGCCACCAATCACCAAATCATTGAAGGCGCAGAAGTCTGAGAAGAGTTCACCATTGTCGTTCATTTCACCGAGGGCCTCTCGACCCATGGTGAGTTCTCTTCCTGTGTTGTCTCCTCCCAGCTTCGCATTCATGTCGCCCATCAGGATTTTGATATCGCCATTTGGGACGTTGTCCATTATTGCTTGTAGTTGTCTGTAGAACGCCTCCTTCTTCTCTTGTTCTGAGACGTTTGTAGGCGCATAGCATTGAATGACTGTAACTTTCCTTCCTTTTGAGTTGAACCTGGCTGTCATTATCCTGGAGGAGATTGGTTCCCACTGCATGAGAGCTTTGGCTGCTGTTGGTGACATCATGATGGCCACTCCCTCGGTGTGCTCGTGGTTGTCCTCTGGGTGGCCGGAATAGATTACTGTCTCTCCAGTAGGTAGTTGGCACCTTCCAGTTCCGTTCCATCTGCTTTCGCAGATTCCCAACACTTCTATTCTGTACCTTCTCATTTCAGCGGCTATCTGGGCAGCCTTTCCAGTTTCGTACATTGTACGAACATTCCAGGTACCCATCCTTACTTTTGCTTTCATCGAAAGAAGGCACATCGGCTGACTGGCTTCCCGAAGGCTTTCACCAGCCTGCGTCATTTCACTTCCCGATTCCAGCGAAAAATAAGGCTATTGTTTATATTTTTAGAATTTTTAATATATTTATTCGTTGAAGTTTCTGTAGCGATTTGGTTGTTTTATGGGGGTGGAGTTGCTAGCACCACGCCCCAACCCTTCCTCTTTATCCGGGCTTGGGACCGGCAAGAAAACTAGCGAACTAGTAATCTAGGCGAGGTTGACTGTCGAACGACATCGTACTCAATTCAGCCATCGAGTGAGTGGAATCCGAATAAGAAACGACGAATTGGATATGTAACCGACGGTAATATGGAACAGTTCATGTAAGTTGGAGGAAGATATGAGGGATTATGTGGAATTGAGCACCCAGCTAAAGTGGTCAGCAGAAAACAGAAGAAAGTGGATGTATGCCGTTGTAGCTCTATGATGTTCCACTCGGAACCTAAGAGAACAATAATAATTATTTATGCCGCATTAAACAGACTTTGATCTCAAGGAAAAAATTAGCTTCAAATAGGCACTGATGAAGAGTTTTGTAGAATCTGGGATCTGATCTAGACAGGAATTAAAACCGAATGACTTCTGTCTTTCACAAAGTCAAGTAAAATGCCTCCACTGAATGCGGCTAATTAATTAATATTGATCAATCTTTGGTAACCTGAAAGAAACTAGTTCCTTCACCTACCTACCTGGGAAGCATCGTTTCAACGACAGGTGGAACTGACGAGATTATCAAAGCCAGAATCGAAAAAGCAAGACAAGCTTTCATTACTCTCAAGTCTGTGTGGAGATCAACAGCACTCACCATCAAAAATAAGATCGGATTTTCAACTCCAATGTGAAGTCAGTGCTACTCACTGTACGGATCAGAGACTTGCACTGCGCGTCATGAAGAGCATCTCAAACAAACTTCAGACCTTCATCAACAGTTGTCTTCGCTCACTGCTACTGAAGATCAGATGGCCGGCCAGAAAAGATCAGAAACAGATTAGGATCTCTGGCAATGAACTAACCAACCAGGAACTGATTGTGAAACAAATAGACAGGAAGAAATGGAGGTGAATTAGCTGGCCATACTCTGAAGAAACCATCAAGTGACATCACTAGACAAGCCGTCGCTCGAGTGGAACTTGAAAGGGGAGCGGCGATTTGGTCGTCAGTGCGAGGGTGACTTTGAGGAGGTCATGTGAGGAGGAGATGAAAGCATGTGGGCAAACTTGAAGTGGGGTGAAAAAGTTGGCAGAAAACCGAACGCAGTGGGGACGGGCGGCTGAAGCCCTATGTTCCTCTAGGAATTAAAGGATATAATAATAATATAATCTTTGGTAATTATATATAGGGAATTCTCTGAGTTTCATATCTCTTATTCTCATTGAAACTGTTGATTAAAATTGTACGCTAACTCGCTTATTGTTGATTTTTTATTCTCTTGTCTATCAGAAACTATTAAGAGTGTTGCAGAAATGCTTTTAGAAAAACCTCATCTAAGATTGGAAAATCAATTGAAAGACTTTCCAGAACGACTTGTGAATTATTATTATCAACTGTTGAATACCTACCATAATTGGGTAAGAAAAATGTTTATTCTAAAAATCGAATGATGTATTCATATATGGATAACAGAACAGCCATCATTATAGAACTTCTATTTTTTATTTTACCTTTTGACTACAACTTAATTCCACACAGTATTTTGGGTACAACTATGGAATTTTTAGCATGTGATATCGGTAGCCCAAATTTTGCAGGCCGACCATTAATATCAGGTGTGCGTCGGCAGGGGATCGAACCCCCCTAACCACTGTGCCACCGGCAAACACAAGATGGCCCTAAAAAGGGCCTTCGCATTGTTCTCTGGGTTCCTAACCAACAACTATCTAAGCACGCTCACCACGAATGCTACGAGCCAACTGGATGTTATTCGGCATGATGGTAACACGCTTGGCATGGATGGCACACAAGTTGGTGTCTTCGAAAAGATCACCGAGGCAGCCTTCACTTGCTTCTTAAAGAGCAGACACTGTGGAGCTTTGGAAACGCAAGTCAATCTTGAAGTCCTGGGTGATCTAACGGATGAAGCGTTGAAAAGGCAATTTGTGGATCAACAAATCAGTGCTCTTTTGGTAACGACAGATTTCACACAGGGCGACAGTTCCAGACCTGTATCTGTGTGGCTTCTTGGCGCCACCAGTAGCTGGTGCACTTTAACGGGCAGCTTAGTTGGCTAGCTGCTTTCTTGGGTCCTTTCCACCAGTAGAAGTGTGAGTAGTCTGCTTTGTACAAGCCATAGTGAAACACTGACCGGATTATTATTTTGTTTCCTATCCTGTGTTAGTGAATCGCAAATGCAATTTTTTTAGCTATTAGTTCCCTTTATGATGCTCGATAAAACGATATGAAGACGTTGTTTATCTGAAATATGTAATGTATTTGCTCAACACATTTCCAACATTCTGATCATACACACAAGTACTATTCATACACATGTATACAGAAGGCAAGAAAGCATGAGTAAAAGGCATTATTCAAATCAGTATTGTGAGCCGTCTCTATGATGTGCTTCACCATAGATTATGTTGGACATCTATTTCCCGAAGCCGTTGTATCCGAAGATTTCATTTGTTCTTGCAGCAACCACTTTGCAATATGTTCTGTAGGCCTAACCTGTAGAGACCTATGGGTACTCTCTCTATGAGTATGTCCATACATATATGTAAATTGGTAAACACAATAGGATGTGACGCTCTCGTCCAGATGCTGTAAGGGTTTCACGGCACAGCATAGATCTCGTTTTCTCTATGAAAATAAGTTTGACTGCATCTTAAGTTCTACTTATTGTCGCCTTGAGTCTTTGTCTTAGTAATCAGCCTTTGTTGATCACCCTGAATGGTAAGGATATATGAACATCCTTTTTAGGAGCTGATTGGGTTGGTAGAACTCTTTGTTTGACACTTGTGTAACGCTTAATTAATTTCCACGGATAGTTTTTATCTAATAATATTTCAGTGAGGTGTTGTCTTTCTTCTTCAATTGTGTCGTCATTACACATACGGTGATTGCATTTGAACAAACACTTAACCAAAGCTTTTTTTATACTGTAGTTGGCAGAAACTATGATAATTTAGATACTGTTCTATCCATGTGGATATTCAGTAGACAGATAGTTTTACTGGCCCATGTTGTCGGCGAGTTATGGGTACACCTGAAAATTGCCAGCAATCATTATTCTATTTCACGTATGTTAGCGATGTGCTGTTTTGTACTGTAGTGATTAGGTCAAGGATTCCAATGACATCTGTTGGTTTATCGCAAATTACTGTATTATGTCATCCACATATCTCTTATAAAAATAAACTTTTCCAGTTGTGTTCTGAACTGTAGGTTCTTAACATGCGATATGTATATGTGTATATCCTGATAATGGATCTCTAACATCACCTACAATGAAGCACATCATAGAACCTGGTCACAAGGTTGACTTAAACAGTACCTTTAGACCCACATATAAAACAAGGTTGGGTCACATACACAAATATGTTGAAGCCTTGGTCATAGAAAGGCTTATTCTTATTATTTCCTTGTAATTCGCCTAAAAGCGTCTCTCCGCTAAACGTTTTCTCTTTTTCAAAGTGTGTTGCGCAAATACATTACACGTTTCATTCAGATAAACTACATCTTTTTATGGTTTCATCGGAATCTCAATTACTCATCATTCTTGGGTCCCAGCGTTGAAAGCTTGCGGCAAATAGGAATCACTGCACAACGAGGGATAAATTTTGACGTTTCCAATTTCTCACAAAATATTCTACTTTGAGCTGTTATAGATTTATTTGTCTAAGGTTTATGAGATAAAAAAATATAAAATAAAGGGTTTTTCTTTCAGTGAATAAGATGTCTTTCATGGTATTTTATTTGTTTGAGCACAGTCCTACTATGCTGTCTTGGTTGATAGAGGGTGAATGCACACTTCACCGTATTCACTACCCGTTCTCTGGCTGTATATTCAACCACTGGGAGTGATTCTGTCCACCTCCACGACCTAAGTCAAGTAAAATACTCGCTTTTAAGTTAACATGTAATATAGCTGTGGAAGCTTTCTGCGAAGTAACAGATTTCCAAGTGCGGTGTATTATCTATGAAACAATATCGGTGAAAGAACTACTTGTAATCAAAGTGGACTATTTCGTCCTTGCTTTTTGATTCCTTATATCGATGAAAAAACAATGCAATGCTAGATTTACACTGACCGAAAAAGTTTCACAGAAGAATTTCACTTAATCAATTGGTTTAATGAAATCCAGTAGCCTGAATGATAATGTTGTGGTGAGTGCTAGCAACAAAGAAAAAAAATTGTGGACAGCAATTTACGTCAATGTTTACGTCCCGAATCGTGGTCATGAGAAAAAACACAAGTACAAAGCTTAACCTTGAGGAACTCACCGACCAATCACAGCAGACTTTACATGTGCAAGATTCGCAGATGTATGGCTTAGTAATTTAAGAAAAGGCCACAAAGAGATGACAGAATAACCTTTAGCAAGAAAACAACCAATCAGAAGACTTCACTTGTCTGCTAACAATAACGCTAATAATAATGTACATTGAAACCTATAAATATATGTTGATTTTCTCGATAAACTTTCTGTGATCTTCACAGTTGTGGTCTGTCACTTTTGAACACTGATGAAGTCTTCCAGACCAGAGAAAAAAGACCAACAAATTCCTGGTGACCATCAGTCTTCATAGGTTACCAAACTTATATTCAGTCCTTAGGCATTCCTTGGTTCTCAGCTTTTTAACTGATAGTGCTGTATTACTTTGATGTGACACTAGTAACTAGTGTGACGCGTCTAGTCCTTTGATTGGTGTAGACTAAATTCTATCAGTCAGGTTGTAATGTGACCACCATTCTAGCTAGCTCGCCATCACGGCTAACATTGATTTGATGGTATAAGATGGATGGAGGCAATCGGCCACAGGAAGCCTTGCTTGACCTAGGTTTCGTGCTAGTTGGCACTCACCAGTCGGCAAGGCGTATCTGCAACCTTGAAGAAATTCATGTCCTTCAACTTAGTGGTAATGTCTCTGACTGCAGCACTGGGTGACGAGGGTTCGAATCCTAGAAGGGACATAAGTTCCTTCAAGGTTGCAGAGACGCCTTGCTGATTGGTGAGTGCCAACTAGCACGAAACCCAGGTCAGGCAAGGCTTCCTGTGGCCGCCGATTTCCTCCAACTATCTAATACCATCAAATCAAGTGCTGTATTACCTCTATGATATTATTTAATATGTTTAGCATAGTTGAAGAACAGTTAATTGATCAATTATTATTTTATATCTTTAATTTTAAAGCTACAACCTCAGTGTTCAGGAATTGTCAAATTGTACGGAGTATTCAGTTTGATTAAGAATAATCTCAAGAATGTACAACAAAGGATAAGTCGAAAAACTGAAGAAGAAAACATAAGAAATTATAAGAAGGTTTTTGAACAAATAAAAACTACAGTGAGTTACAATGATACTTTTTTTTTCTTTTGCCAGATTCTCTTATATGATTAAAAATTTTCAACTGGTCATTGTATTTGACGAATGGATAATCGGATTCTTTATTCGTCGTGTGTTTATTACTGACTTGATAATTTCTTTTGTGTGCGGTCTTGAAAGCTTGTGTTGGAGGTGTTAGATATTCATAGAGTGGATAACTCCTTTGGGTTTCATGCATTATGGATGACCTCTGTCTGTTAATCAAGAATAGATTGTAGCATGGTGACTGCTATTCACCGGATATAGTAGTGGAGATATGTGAGACAACATTGCCCACTTTGATTTTTGGGTTTAATAGTAATAATAAAAGCAGTTATATATGTCCAAACAACGTACACTTTTAACAGGTTGATGAAATTTGGGTATTGTGTATATGATATTCATTAAAATAAAGATAAACAACTGGGATTTCTGGGAGTAAACCAATCGAGAGCCGATTGTGAAACAAATAGGCAGGAAGAAATGGAGGTGAATTACCTGGCCATACTCTGAGGAAACAAACCATCAAGTGACAGCACTAGACAAGCCACTGCTCGAGTGGAACTTGAAAGGGGAGCGGCGAGTTGGTCGTCAGTTCTAGGGTGACTTGGAGGAGGTCATGTGAAGAGGAGATGAAAGCGTGTGGGCAGACTTGGAGCCAGGTGAAAACGTTAGCACAGAACCAAACGCAAGGAAAACGCACGGCTGAAGCCCTATGTTCCTCTAGGAACTAAAGGAAATAGTAGTGTAACAACAGAAGACAAGGGCCAGGCAACAGATCGTTTTATTACGAAAATCAACGCGTATTTATATATATTTTATGTACATTAATAAGGCTTATGCAAGCAGAAAAAGACAATCTTCTAAATGGTTGTTTCTCGGAAGATAAACAGACAAATACAGTCTTTTGATTGGTTGTTTTCGATATTCCTCGGAAAGTAGAGCCATTTATCTGCGAATCATATTAGCCCACGTTTAGGTCTGCTGTGATTGGTTGTTGAATCAGCCTAGATTAATGTCTACCAATCAGCGTCGATTAATGTCTACCAATTGGCTAGCAGCCTGCTCTCACCACAATAGTAATAAAGGTTATTTGTATTTCCCAATGGGTGAAAAAGACAGAACGATATTGTTGTTTTCACTGAAGTTTCGCTATTTAATGCTGCTAATAGCTCTATCAAAGTAGTAACAATAAACGAGAATTTACAAAATCTTAGTTTATGTATAACAACTTGATTATCGTTCATCAGAATGGGGTCATTTTAACGTCGTCAATTTGGCCAATCTGTAAGGATAACAAAACCAGATATAGATGACTGATGGATTTGATAAATCTATAAAATTATAAAAGCAGCGTGTATTTACATAATGAAATTACTTATCACATTCGTGTTGATTTTGTCATTTCATGGTAGAAATTCAGGGTTTTGTAAGCGAGTGAAATTCTGTTTTAGTCCATCATTCCTGTTCAGAAAATCAGGATTCCATTATATCAGATGAAGTGCTTCTGATGATATTAGACGTTCTTTGTGATTTCTAAAAATTTTCAATTTTGTGGCCTGATTCTGAAGTGTAGCGTTTAGACGACCTATGGCTGATGATTTTTCATGCTTTTCTAATTCAACTGGATTTCTCAGTGGTCGAACAGAGGCGGTTCTACGGTGTTCATTTCTTCTAGTTTTGATTTCTCTGTGGTAATGTTTGTCCGATGTGACTCGCATCACATTCCAAGCAAGCATTTTATTTTATAGACACAACTGGATAGAGAATTTTCAGGGATTTGGTCTTTTATATGGAAAAGTTTGCTTCGCAGTGTGCATGTCGGATGTTTTGAAGAAAACTCTAATGTCAAGCTTATTAAGCACTCTTCTGATATCGTCTAAAGTCTCCGCTCTATGTAGAATGACAACTGTTGTGGTCTGTTTTTCGTAATACGTTTACAACCATACTTGATGTCAGTGTAGATCTGGTTGATGAAGTTCCTTGGATAGTTGTTTTGCTTGAGAGTCTCAGTAATGTTTGATATTTCTTCTTGTTTTTGTTTCTCATCCGTTAACATCAGAGAGTGTGCTTGTCTAGCAGCTTTATTTCAAGCAGCGCTTATAGTATATACATAGATTCTTCAGTATGTAGTACAGTATTGCATCTAAAATGAAATCCAAAATAAGGATGAGTTACATAGACGACACATTTGTAATAATCAAAAGAAACGAGTTGAGTAAAACTCACAACTTAATAGACAACATCTTCAACGACATCAAATTCGCAAAAGAAGAGGAATCCGAGAACAAAATTCCATTTTTGGATGTTTTGGTCAAGCGAACAATCACAAGGGAATTAGAAACTCAAGTTTATAGACAATCAGCTCACACAGACAGAATAGTGAATCACAACAATCCAATAACACACACACAAAAGAAATTGTATACAAACACTATTCAAGATAACTGCAGTACTCCCCACCTTTAAGGAAAATTGAAGGAACATATCTCATGGATATCTTCCAAAAAATGCATATCCAGGTGATTTCATCAAAAGAAATCTACCTCCAAGTCAACCTATTAAATCCAAGGCCCCAAATGAAAACACAAAGAAAATCACCCTACCATATATAAAGGATATCTCATAAATCTCTGCAAGACTCTTTAGACCTTTAGGAATTGACGTCGTACACAAACCAACGAAATCACTTCACTCAGTTGCCTCTATGTCAATCAAAATGTAAAACCAACATCATCTACAAAGTAAATTGTAAAAACTGAGAAGAACACTACATTGGCAAAGTGGACCTCCCCTTCTTCTTCATATCAATGATCATAAATTAGCTGTCGAAAGACACGACATCCACTCCCTCATATCTCTGCCTACAGACAATCCGGGACATCAATTCGACTGGGACAATCGACGCTCGAATATGAGACAGAGGAAACACTAAGAATGCTAGAGAATTTTAGAAGCCCGCCCGGTATTCCAGTGAATCATCAATTAATGGACACATCAAGACAGACAAAATTTACTAATCGATGAGAGGGAAATCTCACACACACAAGGTGTCAAAATTCAGGTTGACGAAACAATCAGGATCAATACCAATAGCACAAGTAGCCTAGATGATGTGAAAACACAGAAAAGCGAGCAATGATGACGTTCAAGGTCAGGGTCACCAGAAGAGATGACGAATTAACTAACTCGTGGAGAAATCTAAAAGCTGTCTTCAATTCGAATTGAATTATGCGTGAGGAAGAATTTTCCTAGTAAGGCAATTAAAGCTTCGCAAATTAACTCCTCAGCTAACAGAAGACAACCAAACGGAACCATCCACCTGAGTCACAAATTTTCTCCATCATATCCGCGCTTACTGTTAATATTATAAATCTTTATTTCAATTCATAGGCGTCATTGGCAAAGCGGTTAGGACGCTAGCCGACCATGCACATGGTCCGGGGTTCAATCTCCGGCCAACAACTCACTCCTTTACCTCGCCAAGCCAGAAATAAAGCCGGTAAATAGGAAAGGTTGGGCATGAGGCCGATTAGTAATCCAATCCTGTAAAATAAACACTGCTACAGAAACTTCAAGCCACTAGCTTGAAGCCCTATGTTCCATTGGATAACGTGAAGGGAAAAAAAAATTTCAAACAATATGCGAACATATGGGACAAGAATTTTCAGCGTATTTAGCTCCAAAATCCTTTCTTCTTCATACCGGATTTACATGTAAACTAGTAGTATGAAGTATATATCTTCATTTCGTTGAAGAACTGCACTGCGTTTACTTGAAAGCAAGTTGAATCGGGACTCAACCTCGTGTACATATCATTTGGTATAACTGAACGATTAAAACAATAATAACAGATCCAGATCTAGAACTAATTGAAGTGAAGAAATATGCATATTTCTTCACTTCAATTAGTTCTTCCTCATCACCATCATCATTGGCTGGATGACTGGCTCTACACTGGTATATAGTTTTTTACATCAAAACTGTTTTTACCAATTAAGTGATCATTGTAGTCCGTCAGTTTTAGGTATGCGGTGGGGGGGGGAGTGAAATTAAGAGGTTAAAACTTAGTATTGATTAAGTAAAATAGCCACTTGATCGTTCGACTCGGGTTTTGTCCAAGAGGGTACAAGAACACTATCCAGCATGGTTACGAAGAGGCAGTGGTGGAGCTATAAGAAGTGCAATCATTGAACATCTGGTCGACACCCACTAACCTACCTCTACAGCCTCAACTTTTAGGGTCATTTACAAGGCGAAAAACAATATCCTCAAATCACTGCGTAACTATCCAACTTGTCTGTATTGCTGAAGTTCTCACCATCGAAATAGAAAAGCGAGTGTTCTGTGAACAGAAAAAGTCTGTTCAACTTTCATGGTTTTTATTTGTCTGTGCTAAAGTATGATAACCTTGATTAGTATTTTGACCCTAATTATTTTTCGCTTTGTTTATGTATTCAGTTTGTATACTCTTCCATTATTACGTTAACTGTTGCTATTATTATTCGCAGTTTGAACTGTCACCAGTATTATTTTACTTGTTTCATTTGTCATTCTAAATCAATTTTTTTTATAACGTCAAATTCAATGTTATAAGATTCTACACAATGTTAAGTAACGTTTTCATTTGTATCCTATTTACTTTTCTTACTTTACTTCGGCTATCTCCTACGGGAGGATGAGCCGGCTTCATGAACCATGAAGTTTCATGGGAATTGGGTACGAGTGATGTCCCCAGCATCGCTCGGCCTTTTGTTTGACAGTGCAGCTCTAGCCTTTACACAACCAAGTGTGACCTACAAGGCAGTAGGAGTGGAGTAGGGAGTCCACTATCCATTGGAAGCCGGTGATCGGAGTCCGGTTCATTCGCCTTTTTGAATGGGGCCAGACATCCAGGGGATCCAATAAGCCCTTTGTCCATACGTCTGGCGGTGAGCTCCGGTAAGCTTCATACGCCAGTCGCCGGAGGTTTGGAATCAGGGTTTAGCCATCTCCCCTAGACTGTCATCCAATAGACAGTCAACCCGGTGAAGAGCGCCGGGCATCCGCTTTTGCCCTCTCACTTTGGTGAAAAACACCTCCGCCACGTGAAGGCAATGAGTAGGACTTCCTCAGGAGAGGCTATGTAAGACGCCCGGTCATATGGGAGCATTTCAAGAGGTGTACGGAGGGGTGGCCAACCCGCAGCGCAAGACACCCACTCCCGACCATCCTGAGGCTTTGGAGGCCTATTTGCCTACTACTCTTATAATTTAACACCTTTTGCAGTTTATGCTACTCGAAAATGAGTTGGGTTTCTAAAATGACACTCTAAATAGTCCAACTACTGAAATTTAGCCTTAGTAGACAGCGTGATCTAATTAAAAATATTTTGGTCATATCCAGTTGTTTGTAGATTCATTAAAAGTATTTTGAAAATCTAAGTCCTTAGATTTCGCATTACAACAACAGTTGGCAGTTTAAACTGAGAATGATATGAGAGATATGAGTGCACAATAACATTCCTCATGATATGCAAATCAATTTTTTACAAGGTGTTTAAACATCAACTATCCATCAAGTTTGACAGGCCATAAGCTAAAAGGTGCGTACTGTCGGTGATTCCCAAAATTGGGATCAAACAGCTGCCCAGTACTCCCTGTTGGTTTTCAGTGGTCCTCTGACTGATATTTATCCATGGTCAGGCTCGTAGAAACAAATCTATTCCTTACAAACTATACTCTCGAGAATTAATCTGATACTCACTAATAAGTGACTGGCTACAGGATGCAGTTTCCTAGAGTTCTAGTGAGAAGTCGTGGCTGGTGAGACTCATCCAGTCAAGTATATTAGGATGGATTTCCCACCAATGACATTGTTTAGTGCCAGTCGCGCTAAATCACGAATTGTTAGAAGTTAGAACTTATGGGCGGTGGGTGCATACTGCGGACGATTCCCAAACTACGTTTATGCGTTTATAAGTTAACAGAGTTGGGAAATTCTTATGAGGGGACTTGGAAAATCAAAACAAATAATTCAGCGGAGAGTTTCTTTTCAGCGAATTTATAACCAAGCCGAACAGTCATACATATACATATATTGAAAACATTTATTTCCCGATACGAATTTAAAACAAGCGATAAAGGTTAATAAAGCAGGATTTAATGATGGATTCATCAAATTTCTGTAGAACTCGTCAGCTGAATACTCTACATACACGGATATGTATATATACTTTTGAAATTACATTAGGAGATATAAGACTGATAAGTAAACAAACTACATTGAATTAATCATGCAGAGAGACAGGTGGGAATGTTTTCCAGGTCATGTTCAAATAGATAAGGGAGAGAGAGAGTATGAGAGATCGAAATTAAGATAAATTGCATTACGTTTCAATTACATCATCCAGATAAGCAATTAGTCATTAGGGAATATAACGAGAATTGCAAACAGAGTAATATCAATAGTAATGGTTATAATAATAATAGTGTTGAAGTGAGTTAAGATAATCTTACTGATAAAGCATAGTTTTAGATGAATCAAGAATAATAATAATGATAATAGTAATAATAAGAGGTAGAATAATAGAAATAACAAGTAGAGAACAATAAGTAAAACGTATTACCATGGGAGATTCAGAGTGACGACCATCTCCTTGTGTATACAGAGAGCTGGTTTATAAATTCGAATTACACAAGCCTCCTCTGCAATTGCAAGCATCTTCTTGTTTCTTTGTTTGCTGACAATGGTGAATGACTTGACCGCGTCGATATCATGTCCGTAATCCACAAGATGTTTTGTTATTGAGGATTTTGGCACTTTGCACTCAGCTGTTTTCAACCATTTTGGGAGATGCTCCACCATGCGAGTAGACAATCGCCTTTCTGTACGACCTATGTATTTGCTGCCACAAACACCCAATCAAATTGATATATGCAGTTTGAAGTGTCGAGGACTGGAGACTGGTCTTTCCCAGATTGTTGAAACACTCGCTTGGTGGTGTTAAGGATAACAAGTTTTGCAGCATAATAAGTCCTCTTGATGGCTTTGATGAGTCTTCGTTTCACTACTTCCTGTACATCATCTCCTTTGAACGGCAAATTGATACAGACAGGTTTCTTTGGAACTGTTTGAATTGGTTTAGAGGGGGCAGTTTCTTTACAGTATTTATTAATGAACTTCTCAGGATATCCATTCTTTCATTTTATCTATTTATCGTTATATTCCGTAATGACTAATTGTTTATCTAAGTGATGTAATTGAAACGTAATGCAATTTATCTTAATTTCGATCTCTCATACTCTCTCTCTCCCCTTATCTATTTGAACATGACCTGGAAAACATTCTCACGTGTCTTTCTGCATGACTAATTCAATGTAGTTTGTTTACTTATCAGTCTTATATCTCCTAATGTAATTTCAAAAGTATATATATATATCCGTGTATGTAGAGTATTCAGCTGACGAGTTCTACAGAAATTTGATGAATCCATCATTGAATCCTGCTTTATTAACCTTTATCGCTTGTTATATATATATATATATATATATATGCATATATCTCAAACGGTTGTATAAATAATAAAATTATTAAACATTAGGCGACAAGGTGATAATTGTGATAAGCTTACATCACAAGTCATTAAAGTGAACTAATGGAATAAAAGTGATAGGTGAAATATTACCGGGAATAGTTCAAGGGAAGTAGTGATAACAACCCGCTAAATAAGGAATGTGTATACAAATTGAATGGATAGACAAATTCAAAAATTAGTGTAGTCAAAATATGAATATGGATCACCATACTTTAGCATGGACGGCTTAAGACCATAAGAGTTTGGGTGGTCGAACACACGTTTCCTATATACTAAGATCTGGCTTCTCTATTTCGATGGTCAAAACTTCAGTGATGCGACAGAGATATCTGATACGTAATGATTTGGGCAAATTATTTTTGGTCTTGTAGATAACTTTACAGGAAATGACTGTAGAAATACATAAGGTGCTCAGATGTTTATTGATTGCACCTCTTATGGGCCCACATCCAACTTTTCATAATCGTGCAGGGTAGTGTTCTTTCACCCTCTTGGACGAAACCCAAGTTGAACGACCGATATATCTAACTCGCTAAGGGTAGATGAAGTGATAAACTCACAGAGAGTTTGTCACTTGTGTGCTCTTGTGCTTTAGGTTACTAAACAGTAATGGTCGGCTGCAAAGTGAAGTGAATATTCTCCTCAGGGACTGTGAGATCCTATTTTTAAGACAGTAAGTAGGCAATTCACCTTTAAACTCAAGATTGATATCCGTTACTCCTTTGAGGTTTATACATTTCATAGACTATTTCTTAGAAAAGTTACTTTAATCAGTGAAATCATACACATTGAGTATATCCAATCCCCTCAAGTATATTCTGAAAGATAAAGCCATTTAAGAAATCGATAAGTAATTCCCATCCTAGGACAGAATGACTAACCACTGTTAGATATTCTTGATACTTGCTAGTTTTCTAGCCGGTCCCAAGACGGTCAACCTATCAAGCCGCTAGAGAAACTTCAACTCACAGAAAATATAATATTAATAATGCTATGAGTCCTAATTTTAAAATAATTTCAGTTAACAAAATAATTTTCACTAGTTCAATTTGTTCTTCTGAGTGTTCATCTTGTTCCATTATTCTTTATTTTTTTTGTCACCAGATGGATGATATTACGAATATATGGTCACGATCAGGTGTAGCTCTTTGCTTAGAATCACCTTATCTTGCATTGACCAGCGGAAGACACGATCAATGCTGGAATGGAACAGCTATATCAAGGTAATCAACATAACAGTTCAAATTGATAAAACTGTTAAAAGCTTAGCCTGTCGACAATTAATATAAGCATGTTCAAAAGTTTGGTCTGTAAGGAATAATTTGTTCATAAGAGTTTAATGACGAATTGATATCAGTTAGAGAACCATTGGTAACCAGTACTGAACTACTGGACCGCTGTTTCATCAGCCTAGTTTGAGAATCACAGGCAGTACGAACACACCACAGAAGGTTCGAACCCAGAACCTTCAGGTTACAAGGCAGTCTCGTATACCATTCGGTCACTGGGACTTGAATGCTTGGTGCCCGCGATAAAATCACAAATTGGTAGAAGTTAGAATTCATCGGCAGATCATTGAATCAGGTCACAGTGACTGAATGGTATATGAGATCAACTTGTAACCGGAAGGACCTAGGTTCAAAACCTTCTGTGGTGGGTGCGTAGTGCCGACGATTCCCAAACTAACCAGAATGAAAAAGCTGTTCAGTACTGCCAGTTGGTTTTCTGTAGTTCTCTAACTGATATCAATCCGTGGTCAAACTCGTAAAAACAAATATAAATATGATCCCTTATGTTCAATGATTACTTTCTCTCTACCTCAACAGTAATATGTATTTAAACATTGGTCACTGAAATTTATATTTTTCGATGAATCGATATATATGGAGGAGACTTTACTTCTCAGTTTTGAAGTTACGATATCTCCTGAAAGTTGGTGATACTCTCTATTAGTGAATATTGTTATATATTGATATTCTCCTACCTTGAATTTCCTTATTGGTGAGAGTAACAAGTTCCCTATCAACACTGAAGATAAGCTTTTGGAAAAGAAAACTGGCGGGTATACAATGATTTATTATGTAATGTTTTTTTTTGAGCATCCCACTGCATATCTTCTGTAAAAAAAGACGGTTTATCTCATCAAATAGTAACAAGTCTGAAATTTTAAACTGTCCTGTGAAATATGAAACCATCTTTTGTCATTCGGAAATACGAAATGAGCCATCTTTAGTAACGGTGTAACAACACAGAAGGCAAGGCATGGAAGCCAAAGTATATTTTCCATTAATCATACCGGTGTTTATGTATATACAGTTTATATTCCTTAACCAATCAATGAGCGTGTGATTTAGGTTTACGTCAGAAAACATGAAATAGAATGTTCAAATATACATAACAATATTCCGTTAGCACACATTGCCTGTATCATACTACCCCACTCGTTCCCTCGTCAAAAACTAGCGACTGAATTCTGTTGTATCTTCTTGGCGATGGTGGCTTGTTAGCTGTTTTTGCTGTATCAAGTTCCCGAGCTCACTGACGTTCACCTGCTCCTCTTTATTTGCATTTCTGATCGTATGCACTTGACTCCATCTCACAGTGACCATGTGTGGTCCTTCCCACTTTGGGAAGCAGTTTGCATGACACTAGCTCGTGTTAGCCGGTGTTTCACTTCATGCTATCATATCACTAGACAAGCCCTCGAGTGGAATCCGAAAGGGAAGCCGCGAGTTGGTCGTCCAAGGGTAGGGTGACTTGGAGGAGGTCGTGTGAAGAGGAGATGAAAGCATGTGGGCAGACTTGGAACAGAGTGAAAAAGTTAGCAGAAAACAGAAGGCAATAGAGACGCGCAGCTGAAGCCCTATGTTCCTCTAGGAATTAAAGGATGTAATAATAATATCATACGCTGCCATCGTCTGACTTCTCTGAAGTGTTCCAAGTAACAGACTCATCGCTGACGGAACCTGAACTTAACTCAAATGTACAACACCCTAGAAATCCTTCCTGAAGATCTGTATGTCTCAAACAAAAACTGCAGGCTTTCTATTTGTCAGCAGTCAGTGACATCAAATGTAACAACCGAAAGTAAGACACGGTAGCCAAAGTGTATTTTCTATTAATCCCACTGCTGTTTATATATATATATATATATATATATATATATACCGTTTTATAATCTTTAACCAATCACTCAGTGTGTGATTTCGGCTTACATCAAACGATTGAAATAGAATGTTTAAATATACATAATATTCTATTTTTAATTCAGTATATAACCACTGGAAATGTATTCTTTTTGTAACATCAAATAGAAGGCTCAAATAGACATGTCGTATTCGGTTGCTACTGCAGTATTGAACTGTGGGAATGATATTCTGACCCTAGCAGCAAACAGAATGTTCAAATATACATAGCATTCTGATGTGGTTGTGTTCTCTGAGCTGGATGGAGAGTTTATTTACATAGCTTTCATTATCCTATTAGGCAACATTATCCGCACGCATACCTCGATTTGAAATGAAGTAAGCTTCTAGATTTCTTTACGATTTTATTAGTCATCTCTCCTGGTGTGTGACCTTGAACGTGATTGGTTGTTTTTGTGTGTGTTTTCACACTCTCTAGGCTACTTGTATTGGAACTGGTTGTTTCTTTTGTTTTGAACCTTTACCCTCTCTGTGTGAAATTTCCATCTTATCGACTGATAAATTTTGACTATGTCAATGTGTCTCTTGTGATCAGTGATTTACTGGAATACCAGGTGGGCGTCTAAAAATTCTCTAGCATTCTTGGTGTTTCTTCTGTCTAATATTTGAATGTCGATTGTTCCATTTCAATTGATGTCCATGGTTGTTTGAATGCAACGATATGAACCATGTCAACCATGTCTATATCAACCGAAAGACGCAACAACGAAAGAAGATAAAACCAACATCGTCATCTACAAAATAAATTTTAACAACTGCGAAAAACACAACATTTATCAAAGCGGACATCCACTTCGTCTTCGTATTCATGATCACAAACTACCCATCAAAAGACATGATATCCATTCCCTAGTTTATATCACTACATACATACAACCACGGATATCAATTCGACTGGGACAATCAACGTTCAAATATTAGACAGAGGAAACACCAAGAACGCTAGAGAATTTTTAGAAGCCCGCCCGGTATTCCAGTGAATCATCAATTAATGGACACATCAAGACAGACAAAATTTACTAATCGATGAGAGGGAAATCTCACACACACACACACAAGGTGTCAAACTTCAGGTCGACGAAACAATCAGGATCTATACCAATAGCACAAGTAGCCTAGATGGTGTGAAAACGCACAAAAGCAAGGTCACCCCCTAGAAGAGATGAGTAATAAACTCGTGGAGAAATCTAAAAGCTCACTTCAAACTGAAGTATGCGTGCGGAAGATGTTAACCAGTAGGACAATGAAAGCTTTGTAAATAAACCATCCATCTAGTTCAGAGGACACAACCAAGTCAAACTCATCCACCTGAGCTACAAATCTTCTCCATCATGCATAGCATTCTGTCGCTACTGCAGTATTGAACTGTGTGAATATATGAGAACAATATTCCGCCGGCATACATCGTCTGTTTTACATAACCACAATAGTAGCTCTATTCTAGACAGTGCTTATATAATGCATAGAATTTTCAACGTCGTCTATTACAGAAATATTTTCTCTACGTTCAGCATTTTCAGTGAAAATATTAATTGCATGGAGGATTTAATCATGAGCTGACATCAGTTAGAGAACCACTGGAAAACCTGGGAGTACTGGACAGCTGTTTCGTCCTAGTTTGGGACTCTTCAGCAGTACGCACCCGCCGGGATTCGAACCCCTATTAATTGACAGTAGGTGTTGTGACACACTTCTCTATCTGATCTGAAGTGTAAACCAATCAACCATTAGAATATTCTTTGTTTATAGGAAAAAAAAATCATTAATTCGAAATTTCGAAAGCAGAAAGATTGAGAGAAGGAATATTTACTTTTCAATTAGATCCTCATCTCTGGCTACACACTAATACAACATATCCATGGCATTTTTATTGCAATACACAACAATACACCAATCAAGTGGCCCTGATATGTTTGTTGACCATATTTAGCCACTATCAACGCGTCAATGAGGTAATAATTAATGAAATTAATACAAAATTAAAAATTAGAAATGATTGCCAAACATAAAATTGCGTAATGCATAATTTTGGAAAAAAAGAAAGGGTAATTTAAGAATACGCGTGTGTACAGGTTGATTACGTAACAGATTGTTGTAGAAAATAAAGTGATTTGGATAGTGATAACTTGTAACTAAGGATGAAGTGGTCAGAAAAAATAAAATAATTTGGACAATTCTAATTTTTTTTATGATTTTTAAAAGTTTAGGGGGAAGGGGACGAAGTAGTCCGGCTTACTCGTTCATGTAACGATGGCCAATGCAGGAAAAGTGACTGTGCTCATTTTTCTGAACACACCAGTGTGGCTTCTTCAGACTGACTCCTACAGCTTTAGCTGTTACCTGTAGAAGACGAACACGTAAAGCAAAATTGAGACTAGTAGGAATGTGATAAATAATTTTAAATGCTGTATTAACGTCAGCTTTATGCTCACTATCTACAAGATGTGCTGAAATAGAGCTATCAACAGATCTTGCTTGTCCCCTGCTTAACCATGCTAGATGATGTCGGAAATACGATGATGAACCTGCCTAATTGTACGCCCAATGTGGCTGGCTCCGCAGCTGCAGTCAAACTGGTAGATTCATATAGAGAAGGCAAATGTAGGGAGTTTATTCGTATTTCTTGAACGTAGAATAGGGGGCAGTTGTGCAGAGACAGCGTACTTCTGCTGCACAATAAGCTCTTTCAACTGCATGCTCGCTGTGTTAATATTTCGTTGATGTTGTCACCGAGAGACTGCAGTTTTATGAACTGGAGTTTTTTTCAGGAAATGTTGTCATACTGACTCCCTTAGCTGCTGAATTCATATTTCTCTGAATGAGCTTATCTGAATAGCCGTTTTTCTTAGTAATACTCTAATAATCTCAAGCTCCTCACTGAGGCAGTCATCTGAACAGATTAACATAGCACTATGAATCAGATGCTTTACCAGGTTACGTTTATCTTTCAAAGGTACAAAACTCAAAAAATGAGTGCACTGATCTGTTGTTTTAGGTTTCCTTCGTTTCTCTGTATGTCCTAAACGAAACTCACACATTGAGTTATTCATCTTGTTACGTAACTCCAATAACACCCTAGTTAGAACCCTAACTAATTTGTATTCCTATCTGGTAAGGCTGATGTGCACACACGCACATACAAAGATAATTACATATAATTTCGACTGTACAGGTGAGTGAATGAATTCGCCTCCGAAGTGAGACTCTTCGCTGAACTACACGGTTTGTTTTCATAACATAAAAGTGTAACCTACTGAAGTCAGTTAACTTGATTTTGGTTTTTATTTTATTTGCACAGTTTTAATGAAGAGAAGTGTACATTTTGTCAACAGGAGACAAAAGACTCTGTCAGTCAGTCGCATTATACTACTACTAATAATAAAAATGAAAAATCCACAGTACCATCATCAAGTAGAAGGCAACGTACATCTTTTATACCATCCAGGGATTCCCAGCAGTCAAGTACAAGTGAAACAGACGATATTCTATCGGCTTCAATCGCGTCAACTAATTACTTGTTAAATAATCCATCATGGAATTCTCCATTACAACATGATGTAAGTTGCTTCTATGCAGTCTCGTGTATATATTTATTTATAATATATATTGTTTATAATATATTGTTTTTACTGACGTTTCGCTATTTAATGCTACCGCTAATAGCTTTATCAAGTAGTATTATTAAACCGGAATTTACAAAATTTCAGCATATGTATATAACAAAGAGTTAAGGGGTGGGAAAATAGACTTAGGTCAACTTAAAAGGACTTATTGAAAGTCAAGATTTCAGTTATTTCAAGTCTTTTTAGACGAGCACACTCTCTAATAACGGATGAGCAAGAAAATGAAGAAGAAATATCAAACATCACTGAAACTCTCAAGCAAAACAACTACCCAAGGAACTTCATCAACAAAATCAACACAGGCATTAAGTATGGCCGAAAACGGACTCCGAAAACAAAGACCCTAACAGTCGTCATTCCATATAGAACAGAGACTTCAGACGATATCAGAAGAGCACTCAATCAGCTCGACATCAGAGTTTTCTTCAAAACGTCAGACACACTTCAAAGCAACCTTGTCCGTATAAAAGACCAAATTCCTAAAAATTCTCCATCTAACTGTGTCTATAAAATAAGGTGCTTAGAATGTGATGCGATATACATCGGACAAGCATCTCGAGAAATTAAAATCAGAAGAAATGAACACCGTAGAGCATCTCTTCGACCACCGAGAAACCCGGTTGAACTAGAAAAACTTGAAAAATCATCAGCCATAGGTTTACACGCTAAAGAATCAGGCCACAAAATTGATTCTGATAATATTGAAATAATCGAGAAGAATTTCAGAAATCACAAAGAACATCTAATATCATCAGAAGCATACCATATCAAGTAGAATCCAAATTGTCTGAAGAGGAATGATGGACTAAAACAGAATCTGACAGATTTACAACACCTCCCTCTCCTCCCCAACGAAGTGACAAAATCAACACGAATATGATAAGCAAGTTCACTGTGTTAAACGCACGCTACTTTTATAATGTCACACACTGATCAAATCCAATATTCTACACTTGATTTTGTTATCTCTACCAGTTGACCAACTTGACAACGACAAATGACCCCAGACTAAAGAACGATGATCAAGTTAGTAAACTTTGTTTTGATATCATAACAGATGCACTATTACCCTTGATATTTGGTTTGTGTGATCTTCATTGTTATTTTGACTTTCAATATGTCTCTTTAGCTTGACCTAAGTCTATTTTCTCACCCTTAACTCTTTGTTATATATATATGCTGAGATTTTGTAAATTCCGGTTTAATAATACTACTTGATAAGGCTATTAGCGGTATCATTAAATCGCGAAACGTCAATAAAAACAATATCGTTTTGTTTTGCATTCATTGGGAGATACAAAAACCTTTATCATGATGAATACCATATACCCAATGCCCAAATTTTTTCAAACTGTTAAAAGTGAACTTGGTTTAGACATATATAACTAAAAAGGATTTAAGAATAATTAACACAACGTTTGGTAATCCAGTCAAATAAAGATTACCAAGGTAGGTTAAGAGTCCCCAAGATTCGTAAGGTTGATAAACCATTATGTCCAATTCTATCAATGTGTCATTCTCCTACACATAAATTAGCAAAATGGTTAGCTGATATTCTAAGTCCAGTACGCCATGAATTATGTCAGTTTACTTTTAAAGATACATTTGAAATTATTGCCTGTCTTGCAAATATGAACACAAAAAATAGAATGTTAATTCTTTGTTTACTAATGTACCATTGATTAAGACTGTTGATATTCTTTGTGACTATATACCTCCTAATTGTTTTACATTTTCTTTTCCTTTAACTTATTTGAAAGATTTATTGCTTTAATGTACTGACAACGTCCATTTCACGTTTGAAGGTGAACATTTTCGACAAGTGGATGGCGTTGCTATGGGGAGTCCATTGGGGACTTTTGTTAGCGGATGTTTATGTATCATATGTAGAAAATTTGTCCCTTGATTTAATTTCTAAAGGACCCTTCTATAGGCGATATGTGCGTCGGTGGCACAGTGGTAGGACTCTCGACCATCCACATGGCCCGGGGTTCGAGCCCACGTGGCGCACACCTGTATCTATGGTCGGCCTGCGAAATTCGGGCTACGATATCCACGCTGAAAATTGCATACTTGTACCAAATTACAATGTGGAATCAAGCTGTAATCAAAAAATAAAAAAAATGTAGATGATATCATTTTGATATGCGACGATCATGAAGATGCAAGTCGTCTATTAGACAGACTTAACTCTGTAAAGAATCACAATAGTCTTAAATGCGCAGAAGAAAGTCGTAAGCAGCTTGCATTTTTAGACATACTTCTGAATCGGAGAGATGATGGTTCAATAAGACGATCAATTGACAGAAAACCCACTTGGACATGACAGTACCTTAATTTTCATAGTTTCTGTCCATTACAGTATAAGAGAGGCTTGGTGAAATGTCTATTTAAGAGGATTCAACGTATTTGTACGGCTGATGTTATAGACGAAGAAAACGAAATATTGATGGATACTCTTGTTGAAATTGGATATCCTTTAAACTATTTAAACTGGTGTAGAAGTCAACTAGCCTCTAAACCTACAATCCATTCCGCTCCCAAGAAAAATGTTTTCATCAAATTACCATATAACGGGGAAATAAACAGTAGGATTTTGAGACAGGTTAAATTCGGTCATCCACAGAACCTATTATTCAGCCAAGCTTGTAAGTAACGAAAAGCCAAAAACATGCTTCACTGTAAACCTTAAAAGTGCACAAGTGTTTATATCACATCCCACACTATTAACCAACTCACGTGCGTGTGTGTGTGGACATACATACATAGGGAGGAGTAATCGGGCTTTGCATGTGAGGGTAGGAGAGTATATCCCGAAATGGTTAGAAAAACAAATGAATTGTGGAAAGACGAAAGTCGCTGGTGTCAGACTACCAACTTCGTCTACAGCTAAACATCAAATCGAGATGAACCATAATATTGATGTTAACTCAGCCTTTAAGGTCATTTATAAAAACAGTCAAGGGAGCTTATGGAAATATGCCGAGTCTTTAGCTATTCATGAACTTAAGCCCCCCTTGTGTATTCAAAAACAGATAATTATTACTCTTTACCTACCTTGGTAATCCCTATTTGATTGGATTACCAAACGTTGTGTTAATCATTCTTAAACTCTTTTTTTTTGTCACTTTGTTTAATTTAATTAATTTAATTTAATCCCGAGTCGCATTATCCTGAAAAGAATAAAGGACGCACTGGATACAGAACTCCGACCAGAACAAGCTGGATTCAGGAAAGTCGGGTAAATCATGTTCTGACCAAGTTGCAACTCTACGCATCATCATCATCACAGAACAAAGCATGGAATGGCAATCAAACCTCTACCTCAACTTTATAGACCTTGAGAAGGCCTTCAACAGTTAGCGTTGACCGCGAAGTAATTTGGAAACTACTCGAATACTACGGTGTACCTCAAATATTCATCATCAAGAAGCAGCAAAGACAGGACTATAAGTGAACACAGACAAGACGGAGGTTATGAAAATAACCAACCAACCAACAACAACAACAGCAGCAACATCCAACGTCAATCAACATCAACGAGAGGGATTTGAAAGGGGTTACTTCATTCACTTATCTACGAAGCATTGTCTCAACTACAGGCAGTCGGAACGAACGACGATGTCAAATCGAGTGAGAATCGGGAAGGCGAGTAACACATTCATCAACCTGAAACCTGCAGTTGAAGCCCTGTGTTCCACTAGGAACCCAAGGGAGCAATAATAATATAAAATAAAAATATATATATATATATATCGACTTGACAAGTAAATGTGTGAGGCATCAGATTGGTGTTTGAAATGTTTAGCGCAAATGCATCACATTGCTTTTCAGATAATCTCCGTCTTCTAATAACACTATCCAAATTTATAATATATATGATAAAATATGTCATCACCACTGCTGATCTAAGAAAAATGGTTATTCTGGTCATGAAAGTTACTCAAAATTGTAAATTAATTTGATTGGTTAGCTCTATGATTATCTGTGGTATTTTATAATAAAACGGTATTATAAAGGCACTTACTCTAGAACAGTTAGGAATGTGGGAGAGTTGGACTGATGTTTAATCCACTGTATACTTAATAACTAGGATCCATGTGTCTAATTCTTTGTTTACTGCAGATTGAATTCTGTAAGAGAAGTTTTCAGTGTAGTCACCATGCCACTAGGTGGCTCTCCACCACGACACACTCAGAATTCTTGTTATTGGATAGTTGGTGGAGATCGATAGGAAACCTCGGACTGAGGTTTTGTGCTAGTTTGCACTCCACCAGTCAGCAAGGCGGGTATCTGCAATCATCTTGAAGGGACTCATATCCCTTCTGAGATTTGCACCAATATCACCCAATGCTACCTGCAGTCAAAGACGTTGCTACTGAGTGAGCTATTCGGCCTCAGTCTGCACCAAACAAACGGCTAGACACATTACAATATATATTAACTAGGGTCCAATGAAAGTATCCCATACATTCCTACAGGAAGTCAATCACGAGCCTGTAGAGTTGGCTCAGTTGTTACCTCTGTGACTGGAACACTGGATGACATGGGTTTCTATCTAAGAAGGGTTCCTTGAAGAGTGAAGACACGCCTTACTGGTTAATGAATGCCAGCCAGGAAAAAAAATGGCTTCCTTCCGATCGTCTTTAACCATATAATAGGAACCAGGAGGTTTCGTAAAAAGTTCATGTTCTATTTGAAACTTAAACAAATTCCTCATGTAAATCTATTCGTTGACATTTCTCCCCATTGAAGATCAAATTTTTTTGAATGTCACTTCATTCATTCTGGTGTTCCCACTGAAACTCTAAGCTGGTAGAGATTGTTTCACAAACTACAATAGTGTGTGTGTGTGCGCGTAAAGACTAGTGGAATTCTTAGGTGTATAGGTTGTGGTAATTAATGATAATAATAATAATAATAATAATAATAATAATAATAATGACGGTTACAATATCTTTATTCGAGACAGTATTTATAAAATGTTCAGAGTTTTCAAAGGAGTTCATTGCATGATATTCCCCCGTTTTGTGCAATCAATATCTTCAAGTTAAATATTAATTAATTGACAGTATATCCTTACTGTGACACAATAGTCTCTAAGTTGAAGCACAAACCATTCCGTGATGATGATATATCTGCTTTGTCTCCTTCAGGAAATCCACGACACCTAGTTGAATGCCAGTTGTAAGATGTTCAGAAGCACATTTTGAGACGCAAGGATATATAACTGAAAAACAGTTATCTCATGTATTGGAACACGTTGTCACCTACAACCAGACCTTTCATCAAGTTTGATAGGAACATGAGAATCAGAAACTTGTACACATTTGAAATACACACAATAGTAGATAATACCATTAGAAGTCATATCTTAATCGATTAAAACCAACCGAACGAGAGAAAATATATACAACAGAGAGAGAGAGAGAGAGGTGAAAGTTTTTGGTAGCCCAGTGTTTAAGCATGCCGCCATTTCTTAGTGCTAAATTGGAATAATGACAACAACTAATACTAATAGTAATCTTTAAGAATTTGGTTTGTAAGGATTAAATATGTTTAAACGAGTTCGACCATGGATTAATATCCGTTAGAGAACCGTTGAAAACCAGCACTGCAATACTGGACAGCTGTTTCATCTCACTAGTTTGGGAATCATCGTCAGTATACACCCACCAAAAGGGGGTTCAAACTCAGGACCAACCGGTAACAAATAAAGCTAGTATACCATTCAACCACTGGGACCCGACTCCTCAATGGCCAGTCCATGAATTCTAACTTCTACGAATTCGTGATTTAACCCGACTGGCACCAACCAATGTCATCGGTGGAAAATCGATCCTCACACACTTGACTGGATGGACCTCACTGGTCACTACTTCTCACTGGAACCCCAGGAAACTCTTTTTGCACCCCCAGTGACTCACTAGAAAGCATTAGAGCCTGGTTTGTAAGGATTAGATTTGTTTAGACGAGTTTGACCACGGATTGATATCAGTTAGAGAACCATTGAAAATCAAGTATACGAACTTGTCTTGTAACCATACAGTCCTGGGTTCTAATTCCCTGTGGTCAGTGCGTACTGCTGACGATTCCCTAAATGACTAGGATGAAACAGCTGTCCAGTACTTCCTGTGGCTGGTTTTCAACATTTCTATAAGTGATATCAATCCGTGGGCAAACTCGGACAACAAAGTTCTTAGTAAAATCAAGACCATGGGATAACGAAAGAGATAGTACAAATTGTTTTTGTACACAAAGTTCTGGTTTTATGTTATGTACTGCCAAAGCGTCTGCTATTCAAAACAGACGCATTCGTGTGCCTTTCGGCAAACTTTGTCGGACTTTGCAGATTATATTAAACGATGCATTAGATTTTGCGTGGTCAGTGTCCACAGTATGTTTAGTCATTATAACTGCATGAATTTTAAGCTATTTCTTTTATGAAACTTACTCACTTGAGCGTTAATATTGCACTCCACGCCTTCTTATTCTTTTTTCTTCTTGATATCAAAACACACCAACACCACCAACAACAACAGAAGGAATTAGCATTCCGACGAGCAAATGAAATTCTCGTTAGAGCATCTAGAGATCTTGAATGGTCTGTAAAAACACTACAGGCTGAAACAAACTTTTACAATTCACTTAATACAAAATCTTTTTCAAATGATAATGAAGATGTCTACAGAGCTGGGAAGACTAAAGATGGTGTACAAATTCCTATATCAGAGAAAAATGGAAGTGCAGGTAAGGCATTTCAAATTATGTGTATCACTTCTAATGGAAAAGATACACAGGGATGGTCGTTGTTTTGTTTTTGTTTTTTACTGTCGACATTTCAAGCACAATTTACTTTTCAAATTACTGTTTTGTGATTGATGTGATTTCAATGTAGAAAATATCCCCATTTAGACATTTAGAAAACAGAAAGATTGAGTGAAGAAATATTTACTTTTCAATTAGATCCTCATCTCTGGCTCTAATCTAATACACACGTATAGCATTTTTATTACAATACACAACAATTTACCAATCAAGTGGCACTGATATGTTTGTTAACAATAATTAGTCAGGTGGAAATGGTTACAACACGTGGATTGCATAATGCATAATTTTGGAAAAATGAAGAGCAATTAAAGAATAAGCGTGTGAACAGGTTGATTACGTAACAGATTGTTAAAGAAAATAAATAAAATAAATAAATTGTTAAATAAAATAAAAAGAAAATAAAATAATAAATAAAATATAATAAAGAACTAATGTCAGCTCATGATGAATTCCTGAAACCAATCAAATCCCTACAAACCATCACTTGAATACCAATGGGATGCTCACTGGCGACTGGCCCTATTCAGGTAGGTAGTTACCTAGGTTCCAGTGGGAAGTCGTGACCAGTAGGGTGCAGCCGGTCGGGTGTGAGGACAAATACTCGCCACAGAAGATATTGGCTAGGGGTCGCGGTATGTCGTGAATTGGAAGAAGTTAGAATTCAAGGACCGTTGGATCGGGTCCCAGTGGCTTAGTGGTATACGAGCTCGCCTTGTAACCGGAAGGTCCTGGGTTCGAATCCCGATTGATGCGTACTGATGAAGAGTCCCAAACTAGGACGAAACAGCTGTCCAGTACTCCCAGGTTTTCCAGTGGTTCTCTAACTAATGTCAGCTCATGATGAAGTCCAGAAAATAAAACAATTTGGACAATGATAATTTGTAAGAATAAAATAATTTTTACAAGGATAACACGTAATTAAAGATGAAGTAGTCAGAAAAATAAAATAATTTGGACAGTTATAGTTCTTATTGCTTTTTTAAAAGAAAATATATTTTAGGGGGAGGGGGATGAAGTAGTCCGGTTTATACAATCATGTAACGATGGAAAGTGGCTGTACAAATTTCTTCCGAACACACAAGTTTGGCTTCTTCAGTTGGATTCTTATTGCTTCAGCTGTATGTAGAAGACGAACTCGTAAAGCAAAATTAAGAAATTAGTAGGAATGCAATAAATATTTAAAATGCAGTATTCATATCAATCTTATGCTCACTATCTACAAGGTGGGCTAAAATAGAGCTACAAATAGATCTTGTCTGTCCCTTGCTTAACCATGCCAGATGATGTTCGGAAATACGATGATGAACCTGCTGTGATTTCAGTAGTCTGTGGCTAGTGAACTAGAATTTGTTTATCTACTGCTGAGTTGTTGGTCATTATGATCAGCTCTTTCAGGATTATAAGCAAAAGGAATTAAGGATGAAGATTTAATATCAGCAGTTCTTCGTCCGTTGCCATAGTCTTTTTGAAACACCCTTAAACGCACCTAAAATAACCGAAAATACCCAAGGACTAATAAAGAAAATAGCGAAGAAAATTTTCTTTATCTACGAAGTGCAGTGACAAGTGATCAATGGATGTGGGAAGGATAAACTGCCGCTTTAGATGGTACACGTCAATGTGTGTTTATAAATTCACCTGCTACTATGGAGCTAGTTATATTGGCCACAAACTTTTCAAACTCATTTTTGAACATTATCCGGCATGGTTTGGACAGTACAGGACAATTACTAGCTGAATTCTCGAGCACTTGGTGAACTTAAGCTGTGTAGCCCCACCAGAGTTGTCTTTCAAGGTCATCTACAAGGTAGGGCCAAACGGTACATAGGGCGTCAGGTTTCGGTTTTTATGTATAGCGGAGGTGTTAGCGATTCGTCAATGCAACTCCAAACTTTGTATACATAAAAACCTTGTCCAGTCTCTTATTCTTTCTTGGTCTTAACCTCTCCACTAGTCGTTGCCTGTAAAAAAAATTTGATTTTCTTCTAAATTTTTAATTTTACTTTATGTTTGCTTTTACTCTATTAATTAATTCACTATTATCCCTCTCATATGTTCTTTTTGTACATTTCCCCACCCTCTTCACACCAGTTAAACTGACATTCAACTACGTTTATTCTCACTCAATAGCAATTTTAACCTTATCAAATTTCTTACTTGTGCCATTGAGTACCACGCAATTTAAAACTTTTACTTTTTACTTCTAAAGTCACTTCTGAGTAATTGTATCAGTTATGTCACCCATCCCTATTACTCAGAAATAGACTACTATACATTTTTGGTGAATATAAGTACGACTGTACAGCCTCTGAAGATGGTTTCGTCGATAAAGAAAATTTTATTCACTGAATTTGTCTTACATTTTCTTCAAGACCTAAAATTCATAAAACCACACAAGGCGATAACAATGATAGTTACTTTTACGATAAACTAATACAGGTTTTGAGTCCTGTTGTAAGAATCTGGACTAATTCCTGTGTAGATTTCTTCATGAACTGACATTATTTGAAAGGCCACCTGTATTCTGGGTTGTCCAGTAGTGTCCACCCATGATCTCACCAATCATTTAACCAAAGACCAGATTAGGAGGTCAGCTAGTGCACCATTCAGCTACCTGGTTGGATTCAGTGTCAGTTTATGATATGTAGACACAGACGACCAGTGCCATCGATGAAGGTCTGCTTCACCCTGACATTTTCAGCGCAGACTTCAAATTGTTGAAGTTAGCTTTTAGATTTCTCCGTGAGTTTGTTAGTCGCCTCTCTGATCGATGACCTTGAACGTCGTCATCAGTTGCCCATGACTGTCTTCACACCCTCTAGGCTACTTCTATTGGTACTGGCTGCTTTCTTGACCTGGAGTTTGACACTTTGTATATGATATTTCCTTCTTATCGATTGGTACAGTTTGTCTATGTTGATGTGTCTATTGATTGACGATTCACTGGAATACCTGGCAGGTTTCTAAAAATTCTCTAGCATTCTTGGTGTTTCCTCTGTCTAATATTTGAACGTTGGTTTTCTCAGTAGCGTGGATGTCCGTGGTTACCTGTATACAGTGGCATGAGGCAGTGGATATTGTGTATTTTGACAGCCAGCTTACCTTCACGTATGCAAAGAAGAAGTGGATTCCAGTTTGGCCATTTCAGTGTTTTTGTCGTACTCGTTACGATGCAGTTTGTAGATGATGTTGGTTTTCGTTGTTGAGTCTTTTGGTTGACTTACAGCCAGCTGAGTGAAGTGATTTTAGTGGTTTGTGTGCGACTTCAATGCCTAAAGGTTTGAATAGTCTTGCAGTGATCTCGGAGATGTTCTTCATATATGGTAGGGCGATTTTTCTTTGGGTTTTCATTTGGGGTCTTCGTTTTGGTTGGTAGGCTGACTAGGAGGTAGATGTCTTTCGTTGAAGTTCTGTGAATATCCATTCTACTGAAAGATGTACATGACACATTGATATAGACAAGGTGAACCAATCGATAAGAAGGAAATCTCACCCACAAAGGAAATAATCAGCACGAATACCAATAGCACAAGTAGTCTAGAGGGTGTGAAAACACAAAAACAATCGCGTTCAATGTCATCCACCAGGAGGGATGACCAATAAACTGGTGGAGAAATTCAAAACGTTGGCATCAAAAAATTGAAGTATGCGCTTAAGATATCGCTTAATAAGTCAATGAAAGCTTCACAGGCAAACCATCCATCTAGCTCAGAGATAACAACCACATCGAAATCATCCATCTGAACTACAAATATTCCTCATTATATCCCCCTGACATGTTTGACGCAGGACATAATTCCAGGGAATTCAACCAATAGCAATTGACGAGATGAGAAAATTAAGAAGGCGGAAGGTGTAAATATTAAACTACTGGAAGCAGAGTAGTTTGTTTTATCTCAAACATATTTTTAAATATGGCGAAAATCTTAAATATATTAACACTTGATCTTTGCGAACTGATTTAAATGACAGTGTTGAAGCCATCGCATCGCCACCAAGCCTTATCCTTTTGTAAAAAACGTTTATTATGTGCTGAACTAAATTTTACACTAGACATAATTATATTGATTTTGAATTTATTCAGGACCTAGAAAATCGCCTAATTCACAGTCAGATATGACAAATTCTTTCGGTGCATTAGCATATGGATCAATTCTTGGCTGGAATGCTCCAGAAGATGAAGGAGACGAAGAAAGGCGTAGATTAGTCACAAATACAAGAAGTCGTAGTCCTTCATCGCTCGACTCTTCTTCAAAACCTGTGAGAATCAATATGAATCAAGATAAAAGTACTAAGAGAAAGGTGAGGTGTCTGATTTGGTGAAGGTTTTTTTCATCTTTATTATTTTATGAGTTGAATGTGAAATAGACACCTACGAAATTACCCCTATGTATTTTATTTTACTAGCTTTATTCTGAAAAATGTTGATATAATGTTGAGGAATTGTCAGCAGAACTCGTTGCATAGCATTTTCTATCCTTTCAGGAATTTTTCTAAAGTAACAAACACTATTCAAAAGAACTATCGTTAAGATTTGACAGGATAGTTCTAAAATATTTGGGCGCCGAGTGAGAAGTAGACATTTGTATAAAGTTATATTTGTAAAATCTCAGCGAGATTGAAATGCGTAAGTCCTGACAACTCCAGTAGGTCGAATAAAGCAGCTCAGTCTTCAGAAAGAAGAAGACAAAGCAATAAGTTCGACAGTGTGCTTCAACTAAACTCTAATCCTAAACACCATAATTTTGAAAATACGTCTAATCATAAAATTCTAGATACTAACAGTTTGAACAGACATGAAGATGTGACGTGTGTTAGCTGATGCATAGGAAATCCTGAGTAACAAATAAGAATGGATATGTATCACTAATTAATAATACTTGGTCGAAGTTCCCGACTGTCTATATCTACTTATGGAGACATTAAGACATTGTTTTACAACTGTTTACCCGCAGACACACACACATACACACTGTGTTTAAAGTGTTTAACAAGGGTAGACCAATATTTGTAAGTCCGAGGTCAAATTTTGATCAAAGCTCACGCATTTTTTGTTTATTATACTTGTTGATACTTCAGATTTCAAATTTATTGGTTAAGGATAGAAGGCTTAGAGCCTATGTTAATCCTTTTCTAGTAGATTTCTGTGGTTGTCCAAACCCTTCTTGAACGAATCAGTTGAGGTTGCAGACACCACTTCTTCTGGGAGTCGGTCCCGAGAGTTTATGACTCGATGTGAGAACCGGTACTCAACAGCAGCATGATTTCTCCTTGGCTTTTGAACTTTCCTGCTATGTCCTCTAAGGTGTTCCGACTACCTGGTGGGAAGGAAAAGAGAGAATAGGTCAGGTCCGTAGTGATTATTTAAAATTTTAAACATTGTGATTAAGTCTCCTCTCTGCCTACGGTATGACAGTGAGAAGAGATTTAAACTGTCTAGTCTGTCCTCGTATGATAAGTTAGCTATGCCGTGAACCATACGTGTTGCCTTCCTTTGAACACTTTCTAGAATGTGAGTCCCCTTTTAGACAAGGACTGGCGGCCTGGATGCAGTTTTCCAGTCTTGACCTCACCAGAGATGTATATAAGGAGGTGAACATATCTCTGATGATTCTAGTAAAAGCTCTGCGAATTGCCCATAAGGACCTGAAACTACGTGCAGCCACCGCGCGACAGTGTGCTTCAGTTTTTAAGTCGTGGCTAACTATGACACCTAAGTCCAAGTGAGTCTGAACTGATGGAAGTGTTATTCCCTCTAATTCGTAGGGGCTTGTGCTTGATTGTCCAATGCGCATGGTTGCACATTTTGCCACATTGATCGGGAGCATCCATTCAACAGACCACTCCGACAATTTGTTGAGGTCCTCTTGAAACGTGAACGTATCACTGTTGCTCTTCAGCTCTCTCCAAATTTTTAAGTCATCTGCGTATAGGACCATAGGGGAGTCGGTGAGCAGAGGTAACTCATTGATATACAGAATAAAAAGGAGAGGACCGAGTACCGTGCCTTGTGGCACTATGCTACGTACTGCTGTCCAAGAAGAGAGTTTTGAGTTGATTTTAACCCTCTGCCTCCTATCTATGAGGAATTCCCTGAGCCAGTTTAGTATTCTGCCTTTGATACCAAGACTTTCCAATTTCATACTTGTTTTATGACTCATGATTGGACAAAGTTTTGAAAAACAAGAGATGTTCCTTTCTATATATAAACCTCTGTTATGTTAATTTCGATTAATTTGCCAGAAGAAGTTCGGACCAGATTGGAGAACACAAGAAGCGTTGGAATTACTCATTTCAATCTCGCTGAGATTTTAAAAATATATTTTTTTTTCACGAACAACAAACACTACTTGACAGTAGTTCGTGTGGCACAGTTATATCTAACCTCTAAAGCGCAAACCAATCCACCATCGTGATATTGTAACAACAGAAGACAAGGGGGGCAACAGATCCTTTTATGACGGAAATCAACACATATTTATATATATTTCCGGTACATTATTATAGCTTATTGAAGTAGACAAGCGCAGTCTTTTGATTGGTTGTTTCTCTGAAGTTAAGCAGATAAACGCAGGCTTCTGATTGGTTGTTTCGGGTAATCATCGAAAAGTGGAGCCATCTATCTATCTGCGAATCATATTTGCCCACGTTAATTTTGCTGTGATTGGTTGTTGAGTCAGCCTTGTTCATATTTTCTCATGGCCAATATTAGTGACCTAGACATTGATGTACATTGATATCTACAATTGGCTAGCAGCATGCCCTCACCACAACATCTCTTATTTGTCTCCTTCGAGAAAGACATAACGACATTTTGTTGGTGAATGTCAATTACAAAAAGGTGTTGAAGTCCATTTTGTGAATGAAGGACACTACTCAGGAACACTTATCTCAGTATATTGGGATAAACCGCCATCCATCGACGATAATACGTTTTCTCATGTCTAATAGAAATATGAGAATCATCGTGTTATAAATGTTTGAAGTGCTCACCAAAGTAAGCAGTACTATTGAAGGTCAAATTTCAGTAGATTTAAACAAACTGAGTAAACGAAATTATATTCCAGGTGTACGCCAACCATTATTCACCTCATCCAACAGTTGTACAACAATACTGCATGCCAAGTAATCCAAAACAGCAAAACTCACGGAATTCGTCGAATTGAAGATGAAAGTAAGACAAACTGGCTGGCTGCCCACTATCTCCAATGATTGTCATGACTGCGGCAGACTGGATAATGCGACAAACAGTGGGCAGCGCAGAAACAGGCATAAAATGGACCCTCACAAAAAACTTGGAAGATTTTGACTTCACCGTTGATATATATATCTGATTTTCCACAGACTGAATGATATGCAAATGAAAAGCAACAAGTTCACAGAAGAAGCATCCAGAGAAGACAGAACTTCAGGTGAACATAGAGAAGACAACGTTGATGAAGATTCCTGCCTGCCAACAGCAACAGCAATCAGCCTGCATGAATGGGAGAAATGTGAAAGAAGCAACTTCCTTCACCTATCCACCAATCTGGGAAGCGTCATTTCAAATACAGGTGGACGGAACTGAAGAGGATAACAAAGAGAGGGTCATCGAGAAAGCAAGACAAGCTCCCAGTACTCCCAAGTATGTGTGGAGATCAACAGCATTCAGTATGAAAAATAAATTTCGGATTTTCAAATCAGGAAGTCAGTTTTACTAAACTAACCATAGACTTGGCACCGCGCCGTGTCACGAACAGTACTTCGAACAAACCACAGACCTTCATCAACAGCCAGCTGTCTTCGCTAAATACTACTCAAGATCAGATGGCCGACCAGAAAATATTAGCAACATAGAGGGGAGGCACCAAACCGGCAGGAACCAACTGTGCAAAAAATATGCAGGAAGAAATGAAGGTTGATTTGCCATAGTCTCAGAAAACAAACCGTCAAGTGAGTGATATCACCCACAGTACAGGCCATCCTCGAGTGGAACCCGAACAGGAAGTGGAGAGCCAGTTGATCGTCAGTGTGAGGGTGACATGGAGGAGATGAAAGCATGTGAGCAGATGGATGTGTAGCCAGATGAAAAAGCTAGTGGAGAACCGAACGCAATGGAGACGTTTGGTTGAAGCCCTATATTCCTCTAGGAACAAAAGGAAACAATAATAATAATAATTTGCTAATATGCTGATGGAGGTTTTTGGTAGCCCAAGTTTCTATCAGGCAACCACTTCGTAAAAGGTATTCAAACAAATTATTGCTCTGCAATAGACCAATTCGTAAATAAACAATCATAACGATCACTTAAGATAAATTCACTGAATGGTTGTATTTTGTAGCTTAAACACATCTGCATAATAGAAGACATTCGACTGCAACATATATCACCCAAGAAATCGATTTAAATTAAGCAACAAAAAAGAGAAACAAGTAGCGCAAACTGGACACATAAAATGTTGATTTCTGAAATTATCAAGGAGTTAAAAGGACACAATTTTAATAGGGTAAAATAATGTTTACGCAGATTAAAGAGGACACAGAATTGGCACTTCTCATCCAATTGATTTAAATCTAGAATAAACCTACACAAATATAAAGTTGTAAGCTGTGCAGAAGGCCTAAAAGTGTTGTAGAACTAAGAGACAGTGACATTATAGAGTACTTAAAGTAATCTGTACTCATACGTAGTTAATTATGGTTCTTACCCCCTCTTAATATTGGTAATGTTTCATACACATGTATCTGTATTAGAGTATTCCTTGTACGGGATTCATTTACCAAGATATTCAAGTCATTGACATCAGTTTTCTTCCATGGGATAAAAGTGGTTAAACGTCACTTATTTTAGTAATTACTGGCTTAACGTTTCAAAACTCTATATCATTATCTATATCTTTAGATGATAAAAACTTCATGGTAACTTTCGTCATAAACTGACGATCACCAGATAACCTATTGGTAGTAAGTTTCACTTGATGAGTGCTTGTTATGGGTTCAAACGTTATGCGTAACTACAAACCTACAAGATTTGAAGATAAGGTCATTAAATTTTGACGCGGCTAAATTACCACTCAACTACTGCATATGAATCTGATCGTTCTAGTCTCTGAGATTTTGTTGAGCCGTGATAGATTACAGTATTGTTTATTATTGTTCCCCTGGGTCTTCAGTACAACATAGGGCTTCAACAACACATATCCACTTTGCTCTATTTTCTGCTCTCTTCTTCATTTGGGTCAACGTTTGCCCATAATCTCTTGTCTCCTTCTCAACACACCACACGATCTCCTCGACGTAACCATTGAACGACCCACTCATCGCTTACCATTCAGCTTCCACTCAAGCGATGACCTGCATTCAGCAAGATGGTACTTGATGGTCTCCTCAGGGTGTACTCGAACCATTACCATTTTCTCATAAATATCCGTTGAGCAATTTGATCTTGGTTGATTTGTACCCATAGTTTCTTGTTGCTTAATAAATCCGGCTGGCCATCCGATCTTCAGTATAGAGTAAGGCCCACTATTGATGTAAGGTATGCAGCCACCTGTTGGAAATGCTTTTCGTGACCTGCAGTGTAACTTTCTAACCCATTTAGAGGAAGTACTAACTGAATCTTGTTCTCTATGCTGTGCAATGCAAAAGGTTTCAAAACTGGGTTCAGGTTGGCGAAGGTATATCTTGCCTTTCCAATGCTGTCTGTGTAGCTTTGACATCTCATATTAATGTGACAAACACATGACAGTTCTTACACGCAAGTAAGTCGACTGTTGTGATCTTTAAATGTCGTAAGGTCTTTAGAAATTGATCCGGCTAAAAATTTGATTTCTATGCATTTTACTAATTGATAAAATATCTTCTTCTTTATATTTCAGAATTCAACTGATAGAACTCAAACATCGAAGGTATTAGAAAGAAATCCAAATGTTGGATCAGGTTTAATACCTGGTTGGCCGTTGTACGCCTGGACTCCAATCAGCTCACCTGCAAAAGATAATCCTTACGAGAAACCAGTAGAAAGTAATTTCCCTCAACAAGGTATACTGCGCAAAAATTCTTCAAAGAATATACATATATATATATATTAAAATAATTTTTATAGTTGTCAGTACTAAAAATGGAGTTTTTATTAGATTGCTCGCCACCATTACATTCATATATACTTCATCCTAGAGAGAATAAATGATGCGCTGGATATAGAACTCCGCCAGAACCACCGGAACAAGCTGGATTCAGGAAAGGCGAATCATATGCTGATCAAATTGCAACTCTACGCATCATCGTCATTGAACAAAGCATAGAATGCTAGTCAAACCTCTACCTCAACCACTTTGATGAACTTCGTAAAGGCCATCGACAGAGCAGCGTTAAACGAGACGTAATTTGGAAACTACTAGAACACGACGGCGTATCTCAAGCCTTCGTCAACCTCATTTAACAACTGGCTGTATGACAATGCCATGTGTCAAGTGATCCAAAACTGAAAACCCAGAGAGGCGTTAGCGGTGCATGGGAGCAAGGAGTCAGGAATACTTTGAATTACCGACAAGAAAACACTTTTTTTGATCTGGATTTCTCAAATGATATATGTCTCATTTCACACAAATTGGAAGACTTGCAGGCGAAAACCAAGAAAATATCAAAAGAAGCAGGCAGAGAAGACATGACTGCGAGTGAACACAAAGAAGACGGAGGTGTTGAAGACAACTAATCAATAGCAACAACAGACAGCACCAATCACCATCTCAACGGGATAGATTTAACAGGGGCTGTTTCCTTCACTTATCTGACCAGGAAGCAACCTTTTCACTACAGGCACAGGCCAAACGGATAGATATGTCAAAGCCAGAATTGAAAAGGCAAGATACGACTTCATCAACCTGAAACCAGTTTGGAAATCTTCCACACTCAGCATAAGGAACAAACTCTGGATTTTCAACACCAATGTAAAGTTGGTCAGTTTTTCTATACGAGTCAGAAACTTGGCCAGTGTGTCACCAACACGTGTTTCCAACAGACTGTTGAAGACTTTCATCAACAGCTGCCTTCGCCAGCTCCATAGCGAAGATCAAATGGCCAGACAGAAAGGATTAGCAACAAAAAACTATGGAGTAAACCTACAGGCGAGAGGCGATCGCTCAACCAATATGTAGAAGAAAAAGGATGGATCTGGCATACATTGGGTAGGCCGCCGAATGATATCACACGCCAGGCCATTGCTCGAGTGGGATCCAAATGGGAAGCGACTAGTGGGTCGTCAGTACGAGGTTGACAGGGAGGAGTTCGTGTGAGGAAGAGATGAGAGAGTACGGTCAATCGTGGACCCAGCTGAATAAGATGGCAGAAAACAGAACAAATAGAAGGTGTGTTGTTGAAGTCTTATGCTGTTCCACTCGGAAAGCAACAGAATAATCAATAAAATAATAAAGTACATTCAAGAGAAGTTGAAGTTTGATAATAACAGTGTTGTTGATCATCTGGATGACACTGAAGGTTGTCTTTTGCGGAAGATTGGTCGACAGAAGCTTTCTGCTACGTAAAACGTAGCCATACATTCCGTCTATATAGTATGCTGGATGAGATGTGACCGCCACTCAGCTCAAATTAAATCCGGTTCTTTAGCTAACTCACGCGTTAAATAGATTGTAACTTGTACTAATAGTTAGCTGAATTCATATATTATGTCATCGAATCAATATCTCTTGATAAATCAACCATTTCTAACTGTTCATTACTCTGAAATAACAGTCAGCTTCTCGTAAAAATTGATTTTATTGATGAACCAGATGCCTCAAGGGGATTTTACTTCCGGTTACAGATCTCAAAAGAATCCAACATCAATGGAAATTAGATAGAATTTCATTTATTCATTTTATGCCTTTACATTTGAAGTGGAACGTAGGGCTTCAAGTTAGGGATTTCTTACCTCAATCCCAACCTTTCCTGTTTACTGGCCTTATAACCGGCCTAGAGAGGTTCTGAAGTTCGTCAACAAGGCATTGAACCCCGAACCATATGCATAGTTGGCTAGCATTCTACAGCTGCACGACCGATGCAAACAGAATTAGACGATATTAATTCTAAGAACATAATATTCAGCGAAGAGACTATTTTCAACAACGAATTTATTATCATGCTGTGAAGTCGTATATATATATATGGTGTTTTATATTAAGAAATTATATTGTAAAAACAGAAAGCAAGACACGGAAGCCAAGGTATATTTTTCATTAATCCAACCGCTATTTATACATATACAGTTTATATTCTCTAATCCTGGCAGCGACATCAGTGCGTCGGTGGCAAAGCGGTTAGGACGTTCGCCGACCATGCACATGGTCCGGGTTCGATCCCCGGCCACCGACGTACTCCTTTACCTCGCTAAGACAGAAATAATCCTGGTAAAGAGGAAAGGTTGGGCATGAGGCTAGCAATCTCATCCTGTAAAATATACACTGCTACAGAAACTTCAAGCCACTAGAATGAAGCCCTATGTTCCACTAGGAACATGAAGGAAAAATTATTATTATTATTATTAACCAATCACTGAGCGATTGATTGCAGTTTACATCTAACGACATGAAATAGAATGTTCAAACAGATATACAGTATCCTCTTGTCAATGCAGTATTGAAATGTGTGAAAGTATTCTGTCTGTAACAGCAAATAGACTGTTCAAATAGATATTATCGTATTATGTTGTTAATGCCTAAATGAACTGTAGGAATATGTGAGAATAACATTTCGTTGGCACACATTGTCTGAATCACACCACCACAATATCATGTGAGGAAACTTTAACATAAATGTGAATACATGAAATAATAATAATAGTAGTATGAAATGAAATTAAAATATTTGTGATTATAATCATATTTAAATGTCAAGTGGCAAAACAATTAATGTCATATTTAGAATAATTCAAAAGATGTATAGATGTTAGAAGGGAGGTGTATAATTATAGAGACAGCATCATTACATAACATGGTGTGAAATTCGGCAAAGCAGATAGTTCCCTTCATGAATTTAGACATAGCAATAAGAAGACGTAATTTATCTTAATCGTGTAATGCATTTTGGCACAACACATTTCGAACAATCTGATCACACACACACGAACTTGTCATACGAATATATGGGAAATTAATAAAGAGGTAAGAGGTGAGAAAATAAACTATTAGGTCAAGTTAAAAGGGCATATTGAAGGTGAAAATAACAATGAAGATCACTAAACCAAATAACAGAGGTAATAGTACATCTACCTACCCTGGCTGGCATCAAAACAAAGTTTACCAAGGAAGGTTGTTTGATGTGATGACAAATTGTTGCTTTGACCAGATAAATCTGGTTTAAACTTCTAAATTGCTAGCTAGGGCTTCCACAAACATTAAGATACGCCCTCCGTCTAACACGTTCTAAAGATAGGTTTAAAAGATGTGTAAACGTCAATTTTATGCCCCGTCTCTATAACATGTCTGGCAATAGAGGAGCTAGGTTATCGTCTGTTCTCACCATTAATGGGTTCTGGGGATTCTATTTGCTTCTGGAGCCATTTAGGAATATGCTCTGAAGCCAGCCATTACTTGCAGAGATCTATGAGTCCTCGATATGTATGTGTGGCAGCACGTACATTCACACTGGTAAATACAGTGGGATGTAACATCATTTTTCGTCATCTTACTAAACCTTCTTAGGTAAACTTTGTTTTAATACCAGCCAGAGTAGATATACTATTACGTCCGTTATTTGGTTTAGCCATCTTCATTTTTATTTTTACCTTCAATAAGTCCTTTTAACTTGACCTAAATTTATTTCGGACGTTCGACAAAACAAATCTGTCCTTCAAAACTTAGATACCTTGTTACTTACATCTATTAGTTAATTGATTTGATCACTTTTCCCTTTTTAATTTTACCGCACCCTAATCCACCCACCACCTTTCCCTAAAAGTGACTAACTAAAATAATTGATTGGTGAAAACAATTTTGATGTAAAAAGCACTGTACATTAGCGTAGAGTCAGCCAGCCAACCAGCCAGTAAGTTGATCATGAGGAACTAATTTCCAACTGCGTGAATGGGAATTTACCGATTCAGATTAACCTTTCCATTCATTATAATAAAGGTTTACTTGTATATCCCAATGAATGATAAAGACAAGACGATATTGTTGTGTTTACTAACGTTTCGCTATTTAATGCTGCCGATAATGGCTTTATCAATGTATTAATAAACTGGAATTTACAAAATCTCAGCATATTTATATATGTATATAACTTAATCATCGTTTTTCAGCTTGGGGTCATTCTTCATTATCCAATTAGCCATTTGTTGAATATAGCAAGTTCAATATCAGAGTTTTCTTCAAAACATCAGACAGACTGCGAAACAGCCTTGTCCATGTAAAAGTCCAAATCCCTAAAGATTCTCTCTCTATCTAATTGTGTCTATAAAATAAAATGCTTGCATTGTGATGGGATATGCATCAGAAAAACATCTTGAGGAGTCAAAATCAAATCAAGAAGTGAACATAATAGAGCCATCTCTTTTCGACCACTGAGAAATCCAGTTGACTTAGAAAAGCTTGAAAAACCATCAACTAAAGTTAGTCTACGCGCTCCGCTATAAAATCAGGCTAAAATATTGATTTTGACAATATTGAAATCATCATCCAGAAACAGCATTTCTCAAATCACAAAGAACGTCTCAGATTATCAGGAGTACTTCATATGATCAAATGGAATCCAAATTGTTTGAATAGGAATGATGATAGGCTAAAACAGAATTTGACCTGGTTACAACACCCCCCCTCCCCCATGAAGTGACAAAACCCACATGAATTTTATAAGCAATTTCCTTATGTAAACACATGCTGTTTTTATAATTTTATACACTTAACGAATCCAGCAGTCATATACACTTGGCTCTGTAATCTTTACAGTTGGCCAACTGGTAAAGATTACAGAGCCAAGTGTATGACTGCTGGATTTGTAAGTGTATAAAATTATAAAACAGCATGTGTTTACATAAGGAAATTGCTTATCAAATTCATATGGGTTTTGTCACTTCATGGGGGGAGGGGGTTGTTGTAACCAGGTCAAATTCTGTTTTAGCCTATCATCATTCTATTCAAACAATTTGGATTCCATTTGATCATATGAAGTACTCCTGATGATCTGAGACGTTTGATTTGTGGAATGCTGTTTCTGGATGATGATTTCAATATTGTCAAAATCAATATTTTAGCTGATTGTATAGCGGAGCGCGTAGACTAACTTTAGTTGATGATTTTTCAAGCTTTTCTAAGTCAACTGGATTCCTCAGTGGTTGAAAAGAGATGGCTCTATGATGTTCATTTCCTGATTTGATTTTGATTCCTCGAGATGTTTTTCTGATGCATATCGCATCACATTGCAAGTGCGTCGGTGGCACAGTGGTTAGGACTCTAGCCGACCATGCACATGGTCCGGGGTTCGAGCCCGCACCGACGCACATCTGATATCTATGGTCGGCCTGCAAAATTTGGCATTTTATTTTATAGACACAATTAGATAGAGAGAGAATCTTTAGGGATTTGGACTTTTACATGGACAAGGTTGTTTCGCAGTCTGTCTGATGTTTTGAAGAAAACTCTGATATTGAACTTGCTATATTCACAAATGGCTAATTGGATAATGAAAAATGACCCCAAGCTGAAAAACGATGATTAAGTTATATACATATATAAATATGCTGAGATTTTGTAAATTCCAGTTTATTAATACATTGATAAAGCCATTATCGGCAGCATTAAATAGCGAAACGTTAGTAAACACAACAATATCGTCTTGTCTTTATCATTCATTGGGATATACAAGTAAACCTTTATTATAATGAATGGAAAGGTTAATCTGAATCGGTAAATTCCCATTCACGCAGTTGGAAATTAGTTCCTCATGATCAACTTACTGGCTGGTTGGCTGGCTGACTCTACGCTAATGTACAGTGCTTTTTACATCAAAATTGTTTTCACCAATCAATTATTTTAGTTAGTCACTTTTAGGGAAAGGTGGTGGGTGGATTAGGGTGCGGTAAAATTAAAAAGGGAAAAGTGATCAAATCAATTAACTAATAGATGTAAGTAACAAGGTATCTAAGTTTTGAAGGACAGATTTGTTTTGTCGAACGTCCGAAATAAATTTAGGTCAAGTTAAAAGGACTTATTGAAGGTAAAAATAAAAATGAAGATGGCTAAACCAAATAACGGACGTAATAGTATATCTACTCTGGCTGGTATTAAAACAAAGTTTACCTAAGAAGGTTTAGTAAGATGACGAAAAATGATGTTACATCCCACTGTATTTACCAGTGTGAATGTACGTGCTGCCACACATACATATCGAGGACTCATAGATCTCTGCAAGTAATGGCTGGCTTCAGAGCATATTCCTAAATGGCTCCAGAAGCAAATAGAATCCCCAGAACCCATTAATGGTGAGAACAGACGATGACCTAGCTCCTCTATTGCCAGACATGTTATAGAGACGGGGCATAAAATTGACGTTTACACATCTTTTAAACCTATCTTTAGAACGTGTTAGACGGAGGGCGTATCTTAATGTTTGTGGAAGCCCTAGCTAGCAATTTAGAAGTTTAAACCAGATTTATCTGGTCAAAGCAACAATTTGTCATCACATCAAACAACCTTCCTTGGTAAACTTTGTTTTGATGCCAGCCAGGGTAGGTAGATGTACTATTACCTCTGTTATTTGGTTTAGTGATCTTCATTGTTATTTTCACCTTCAATATGCCCTTTTAACTTGACCTAATAGTTTATTTTCTCACCTCTTACCTCTTTATTAATTTCCCATATATTCGTATGACAAGTTCGTGTGTGTGTGATCAGATTGTTCGAAATGTGTTGTGCCAAAATGCATTACACGATTAAGATAAATTACGTCTTCTTATTGCTATGTCTAAATTCATGAAGGGAACTATCTGCTTTGCCGAATTTCACACCATGTTATGTAATGATGCTGTCTCTATAATTATACACCTCCCTTCTAACATCTATACATCTTTTGAATTATTCTAAATATGACATTAATTGTTTTGCCACTTGACATTTAAATATGATTATAATCACAAATATTTTAATTTCATTTCATACTACTATTATTATTATTTCATGTATTCACATTTATGTTAAAGTTTCCTCAGATGATATTGTGGTGGTGTGATTCAGACAATGTGTGCCAACGAAATGTTATTCTCACATATTCCTACAGTTCATTTAGGCATTAACAACATAATACGATAATATCTATTTGAACAGTCTATTTGCTGTTACAGACAGAATACTTTCACACATTTCAATACTGCATTGACAAGAGAATACTGTATATCTGTTTGAACATTCTATTTCATGTCGTTTGATGTAAACTGCAATCAATCGCTCAGTGATTGGTTAATAATAATAATAAAATTTTTCCTTCATGTTCCTAGTGGAACATAGGGCTTCAATCTAGTGGCTTGAAGTTTCTGTAGCAGTGTATATTTTACAGGATGGATTGCTAGCCTCATGTCCAACCTTTCCTCTTTACCAGGATTATTTCTGTCTTAGCGAAGTAAAGGAGTACGTCGGTGGCCGGGATCGAACCCGGACCATGTGCATGGTCGGCGAACGTCCTAACCGCTTTGCCACCGACGCACTGATGTCGCTGCCAGGATTAGAGAATATAAACTGTAGATGTCCAGTTGGCCAACTGGACAACGCAAAAATGCCCTCTTGCTGGTGAACGATAATTAAGTTGTTATATATAAGCTGAGTGGATTTTGTCAATTCTGGCTTAATATCACTACTTTGATAAATCTATTAGCAGCAGCATTAAATAGCGAAACGTCAGTAAAAACAACAACAAACCGTCAAAAGTGAACTTGGTTTGAACGTATATAATATCGAATAAGGCATTAAGAAGACAAATTTCGCGAGATGATATCATTTCGTAGTTTCTTTACAACCGCTTTACAACTAACATGGTTAACAATGATAAAATAAAGTTCATGAAAATTACTCAGTTAAATAAAAACAAAAGTACATACTAATGACCAATCATATTTAGATAGGTCATGTAGTCCAGGGTAGGCGAAGATTGAAGTCTATTGATTTTTGTATACACAGTCTAGGCTGTATGTGATTAATCCCCCAAAGTGCTTCCATCACCTTCAATAACCAACTTTGAATTAGAGTTGTGTGAAATAATTGTGAAACAGTCATTAATATTGATTTTGTGACCAGACATTAATAAGTGTTTTGCAATGGATGATGCTGGATTTCTATTAAGATTAATCGCGTTAGGATTTTCGATATGATTTACTAGCCATTTTGGAACATGTTCTTTTCGACGACATTGGAACATTCTGTTTGTTCTACCTATATAGTGTCACCGCAGCTGCAGGTGAACTTGTAGATACGGTTTGAAGTAGAGTGCACAGAATTTCGTCCTTTAATTGTAGGTACAGGATCGAAAATGTTCGGCAAGTGAGAAAAAGAGATGTGGCGGCGTAGAATGTGCGTTTGATGGCTGACCGAAGTCTTTGAGCTGTCAACTGCATAATCTGGTCGCCCTTGAATGGTAGATTAATAAAGATAGCTTTCTTTGGTACAGAAGCTTCTTTTCAAGATGTGGTCTATCCTTACCGTGACGATTGATGAAGTTTTCTGGATAACCATTGGCTAGTAAAACTGAATGTATATAATATCATTTTGTCTTTTTCATTCATTCATTCATTGGGAAATACAAGAAAACCTTTATTATAGTAAACATCATATACCCAATGCCCAAATACTTTCAAACTGTTAAAAGTAAACTCTCGATTTGGACATATATAACCTAACCTGGCCATGTTGAAAGTATATATATGTATATATTGCCATATAATTTCTAAAAAGCTAACTAATAGTAACAATTCACTGTAAGCTCAGAATCTAATTCTACCCTTTCTTCCTGTTGTTTAGAAATTAATTATGACGGAAGTGGTTTTCATAATCCCAAGGATTCAATGCCACCTACCGGTGAATATGATTATCCCCAGATGTTTCCTTTTGTCAATATGAATTCACAAGGTGGAAACACACCGACTTCAAGATCGAATGAAAGCTTAACTCAGACTACAAATCGCTTACAAAAGCCAAATATTAGTAATCAAAAATCAGTCATAAATTCACCAAATATGCAGGAAAAGAATCAAACCGAATCAAACAAGGATTCCAATGTAGAGAAGAAGAAAAATGCTGCAGGTCATGTTCATTCGTCAAGTTTTACATATTATTACATCATAGTTATCAGCGTCTCTGTGATGGTGCATCGGCTCTCATCGCTAACAGTTTATTCATTTTAAATGACTCACGCAGCACATACACACACACACACTGCCTTGTCGCCATTTATTTTCTCACATTCAGTCATACGGTTAAGGGAAATAACAAAAAAAACAACAAATAAACATTCTAATATGCACAGAAATTCAAGTATTTTCTAATATCATCATCATCATATTTGCAATCTACGTTGTACAGTCTCCGTACTCTCGACTCTTTTCTCCTTTTTTTGTTGTTGTTGATAAAATGAAGCTTTCAGAAGTAACGCAAAAAGACAAAACATGCCAGAAATAACCCATTGAATATTTGCTTGATGATGATGATGATGAGGACGATGAGGGCATCGATTTCGTCGTCAAGATTTCATTATTCCCCCTGTTTGTTTGTTGTTGTTGTTTTTTTTGTGTATTTAATCATCCTTATTATTGTTATCATTATTATTATTCCCATCAATCTTTGTACTAAGATTTCACTGAGATTATTGAATCAGGCTGTTTTTTTTGTTTAAAAGAGACGAAATTCAAAACCAAAATTGTCCGTTTTGTAGGCCGATAGGGGAAGCTATTGAGGCGGAAGTTGGAGCGGTTCACTCAACTTTCAATTATTCCCCTATATTCTATTTTAAAATACCTAGAATTCTAATCAGAAATGCTGTTCTCTATAAATCAAATGTGTCCACTAATGGGCTTCTGAATATGGCACAATGAAATGAGGCTGGTGAAGAGGAGTGAACACTATTCAATGTTTCAATTTCTTCAAATTACTTTTATACTTATTCATCGTCTATCATCAAGTTGAATAAATTAAGCCAAAAAAAACAACAACAACCCCGCAGAGTACTAGTGATCGTAGTATCATTCCCTGATTCCATACAACATCAAAATAACGACATATTGTTTGTACACCAGTAAAAGATGGTGGGTCTGTTGCATAAAGTGATAAATTGAGAAGATTTCTCTATTCCTTATCTAAATGTTTTCCTAATTTTAATTAATCATATATATATATATATATTATCAAATATATCTTTGAATTTTGAATTTTAATCAGAGGTATAAAATGAAATAAATAATTTTCTGAAATAAAAGATTGTTTCTTTTCCACATGTAGTAAGACTGTTAGTGTGGGGTACCTAGGGATATGCAGGCTACCTGACAGCAGACATCGAGGTGGAGACTGTAGATGATGTAGCTTTAAATCGTTTGCTGTGGTGTAGACGTATGCACTCCTTGCTGGTCAAGTGAAGACAGGAGTATGTCCACTTGGACTTCTATCTTCTCTGCCTGCCCCATCAGCCAGTTTGTTTCTTTTCGCCTGCACCTCCTGGAGTTTGTGTGACATCAGACGTATGTCACCTGCGAAGTCCAGATCTTCTAGAGTCTTCCTGTCGGTAGTCCAGAGTATTCGTGTGTTCTCACTCACCACGTAGGCTCTTTTATGCACAATTCAGCCCACCACAATTAGTAATATCATCGTGAGTGATAATAGGCAGCCAGCCTTGTTGTAATTCTGCATTCATTCCAAACGCCACACTGAGCTTTGCGATATGCGTCACCTGACGTGTGGCACTGTCATATAGCCAACTGTTGAATGATGTTGATAAAAACTTGGGGGCATCGCACTCCGTAGTGTTGAAGCAGTTTTCAAATTACTTCTTTGGTCAACATTGTCGAAGCTGTCGCCTTTTCGAAGTCGATGAAGTTGAGGTAGAGGTTTGACTGCCATTCTACGCTTTGTTCGATGACAATGATGAGTAGAGTCGCGATGTGGACAGCATATGATTTGCCTTTCCTGAATCCAGCTTGTTCCGGTGGCACTGGTGGAGTTCTTTATCCAGCGCATCTTTTATTCTCTCCAGGATGATACGACTTTGTATTTTACTTGGCATAGACAAGAGCTAAGTGTTTGTAAATTCTTGGCTTACTACCACACTCATAAATCTTTTAGCATTAAGTAACAAAACGTTAGTAAAGACAATACAAAGTTTTCATTGATTTGGAGATATAAACCATATACACTGTGAGTGCTGATGAACACTAAATCGTTTGTTATTTCGAACACATCTTGACTCTACTGCAGGCAGGAAGGCTATTATTACTTCACTGTATGCTGATTGGCAGAAAATTGAAGAAATATGTTCGGAATTATTGTCGCACATCGTATTAACGCTTACTTACAGACTTTGCACTTGGGAATAATTGTAACTCTGTTTTGTTATCGACAGAAAAATACACAGTCGGGTTACCCAATGGTTTTCTGTTGTTCCGCGTTGGTTACAGAGTGCATAGTATTCTGCGTATAAGGTTTAGTCTTCTGGAACAGGCATTACGTGCAGGATCTTTGTGATCTGAATATCTGACATAGCCAGTGTGCAAAATTCTTCAAACTTATAAATGAGAACTCCATTTAAACATTTATAACTTAATTACAGTCATAGCCTGTAATAGAGAAGATTTCTAGCTTAGGTGGATGATTAGCAATTAGTGGTGTTTTCTGAGTAGTTGGTTGAGATTTCTTCGCCCTACTGGACAACATCTTCAGTTCAATTCTAAGCATAAAGTGAACTGATTTAAATTTTTTCATGAATGACAGAATTGCGTCTCCTGGTAACCATCTTCGTGACTGATAGTCGATTTACATCTCTACAGATCATTTTTTATTGACATGGATTTTGAACTGTCTGGTCACATGATTTACTTTTTAATAGTTTATAAATTCCGTCTATAGTTATGTGTTTGTTAATCGCTGGCTGATTCACTTGAGTACCAGGCTTCTGGAATCGCCTGACTGCACTTTCTGAGTTTTCTGTGTTTAAAATTTCGACGTTATCCCGATCAAACTGATGTCCATAATTATCTATATGCTTTGATGAGAAAGAATATATATATCATTTCTTTTCACAGCTGACTTGTGTTCCTGGATTCTGATTCGAAGGGGACACCTACTTTGGTTGGGATAACGTCGAAATTTTAAACAGAGGAAACACCAAAAGTGTCACAGAATCCCTAGTAGTCTGTTATCCAAGCGAATCAGTCAGCGATTAACAAACATGTTAATATAGACCAAATCTACCAACTAATAAAAAGTAAATCATGTGACGAGAAAGTTCAAAATCCAAGTCAATAAAAAATGATCAATACACATGTAAAGATGGTTATCGGGAGACACAATTCTGTCACTCATGGAAAATTTTAAATCAGTTTAGCAGAAATCTGTTGAAGAAGCTGTGTCTTACACGGTGAAACGTTCAGAAAAATCTTGTTTTGATTTTCTTAACATGCTGGGCTTAATTTAAATAATTTATAATGAATCAGTCTGACTCGGCGCTCAAATTATTCCAGGAAGTTCGTAACACCTACGGTCTGAAAACCTATATGAGTTCACTTTATGCTTAGAATTGGACTGAAGATGTTGTCCAGTATGGCGACAAATTCTCTGCATCTAAACCAATCAGCTCCTCAGAGAACACTACTAATTACAATTCAAAATCTGTCTCGTACTTATGGCAGTCTGGAGAATATACCAAAAAAGAATCAGAACAAAATTGAACTACACTGAATCAGATTCACATCTCTATGTAGTCGAAACTCTTATAAATACTGAAGATTAGTCAAATAATGAAACATATTTTAGATAAACTGGTAAGTTTGCAACCAAGAAAGGTTAAGTAATATGACGTGAAATTTATGGAGATAGAAATCAGTGAATCTTATAACTGAACCAATTATGATCAGGCAATCAAGGCGAGCATTCATTCCTCTCAAGTCTATGTGGGGATAGATCAACAGCACTCAGCATGAGGAACAAAATCCGAACTTTCATTTCAGTTGTGAAGTCAGTGCTAGACACCATACGGATCACAGATTTGATGCCATGCCGCGTCACGAAGGCCACTTCGAACAAACTATACACCTTCATCAGCAGCCGTCTTCGCTCACTGCTTCACTCAAGATCACATGGCCGGCCAGAAACGATCAGCAACAGGGAGGAATCTTTGGCAGTGAGCGAACCAACCCAGCAGAAATCACCTGTGCAAGATATATGCAGGGAGAAAAGGAGGTGGATTGGCTGGCCATACTCTGAAAAATTAAACGATCATGTGAGTGACATCACTCGTGTGGAAGGTGAATGGGAAGCTGTGAGTCAGTTGGTCGTCAGTCTGAGGATGACACGGAGGAGGTGGAAGTCATGTGAAGAGGAGATGGAAGCATGTGGGGATATACAGAGTTAGGTGAAAATGTTGGCAGAAAAGCGAACGCAATGGAGATGTGCGGCTGAAGCCCTATGTTCCTCTAGGAACTAAAGGAAACAATAATAGTAATAAACAGTATGAAAATGAAGGATGGTTAAAAGGTAAAACAACAGACAGGAATTTATATTCTAAACTTATTACCAAAACGTTTCTGTGTATATTTGGAAGGCTTTTCAGAATGCAAATAGTACGAAGTACCTGTAGAAATTGATATAACCACCAAATTTATTCGGTCATGATCTGAAAGCAAAAAGTCGATCTCTACACTCTACTGTATAGCTGACAAAAAAACTTCGATGAGACACACACTATCACAAAACGCTCCAAACGTAGTGAAGGGACGATTATTCGTTAATATTTTAGCAGTTCTATGAAACAAAACTAATGACATCAAAACTTTGCATCGGCTTCACCTCAGCAAGCTTGACGGACAAACGTAGAACTTGTTCAGTTGCCTTACCGTAGAACGGTCCTTGCTTCTCTTCGAATCATGAAATATACACATTGGACCATAGGAATTATTAAAAAAATGTTGCAGCGAAGACAATTTTCTTTTTGACGAAGTCATCAGCTAGGCAGCTGTACATTCGTGTGAGAATGTTCCAGAATTATTTCCGGTCAGAGGTCGCAATAATAAAGTTACAGAAGATAGGTAGTGGTACTATCCTAGAAATATTTCAGGTCAAAGGTCAAATTAAAAATTCCAGTGCGTAATAATCAGGACGTTCGGATAGAAAAGATAAAATAAGATTATAATTACTGGAAAACTCGTCAGTTTGTATATTTACGGGTCAAGGACGTATGATTAACGAAATAGGTAGGAGGTTCGACACATAAAAATAAAAATAGAAACAGTAACTAAATCTAATAATGCAGATAGCGATTTTAAAAGGTAAATATAACAGATAAACGGGAAGGTTGAATAAGAAAGGTTATAGGATAATCATTATTGGTAAAACTGACTTTTTATGATGGCCACGGTAGGGACAACGGTTAGATGCATTTCTTTTGGACACAGAATAGACTATAGCTTTTGGATCGCCACTGTCTCAGCTATTCCCAGATGTCTTGATTTCACTTCCCTTGAGAGAGTGGTTGGATAGGATTTTGTATACGGCTTTGAAGGACCTTTCAAATGGGACTGAATGTCCAGAATTCACCAGATATTCTGTTATCGCACTGTATACCCCTTTGCGTTCTGCTTTCGATAACCATGCTGGATAGTGTTCCCGCGCGCGTTTAACGAACGGACTCATCGTACGGCCAATAAACTCAGCTCCACACGAGCAAGTGAACTTGTATATGCATGCTGAAGTGGCCCAATACGACAGCTTGTCTTTCGCGTGTTGAGTGAGTAGTTTCTTGCAGGAGAATGTTATTCGTAGGCGACTGGTGGCGAAGTATGTTTTATTGAGAAACTTCGAAAGCCATCCACAGAGAATTTCTGCCTACGTATCACTTTTAAATTAGAGGTTCGATATCAGCATCATTTTTGGGGTGATTTGGACCTTATCAGGTGTTTCCCTTGGTTTCAAATTCTTGTCTATGAATCTGGGTGGGAATCAATTTTCAATCAAGATCCCTCGGAGATTTTGTAAATCTTCATCGATTGACTCTTCAATGCTAATCGTCTGGATCCTCGAGGAAAGAGAGCATATTAGGTTTCTCTTTCTGCTTAGAGGCACACAGCTGAACACTTGAAAAGATACGGGTTGCCCCGAAAAAGATGCTGATATTGAACCATGAATTTAAAAGTAATACCGAAGTGGAACGCTCCAAACGCAGTGAAGGGGTGATTATTCGTTAATACTCTGGTAATTTCATTAAACAAC